ATAAATCATTTTGATGTAATCAGTAGCACTGACAGAATATGAATGGGCTTTTCTACCTACAGCCACCTCTTCCAGAGGACTAAAATATTTGTCTGTATTTCGAGTTAACACAAACACTCCTCTGTCATTCTGAAAAGGCTGCTGATAGTTAACAATCAATCACTGCAACAGCAGTATTATATATTATTATAATAATCTTTTAAATCAGATCATCATAGGAGGTATTTGCGTTGTCTATCTTCATTGCATTTTCGATTGATGCTTTCAAGAATTGTGCCAAAAGTAGGTAGAGGTATACTAAAAGATGTATTATTTTAAATATTTTTCTGTTAAATAAATGTATTTGTAAATATTTTTTTTATTCCAACATAAGGTGTTTCTAAAAATTGTGCAAATAAGTTTTTGGTTGGGTTTAACTTAATGTCATACAAAATTGCTTTTAAGAGCCAGGGCATTACAAATTAAAAATTCTATTCCAACATCAGATTTTGAACAGTATTACTGTGATGAGAGTTTGATCAGCATGAAAAATTTGACATCCTATGTCAAATTTTCTCTTGAAAGCAGTGATCTTTCTGAGCCATCCAGATTTGCAAAAGAGATAAGCCTGCTATACCTTCTTCTACTGCTTGGAACTGTATGGCTTGGAGTAAGTCTCTTCACATTTAAAAACATGTGAGTTCATACAACCAATCTATTTATTAACAATGGGAGCTATATACAGTGGTGCTAAATAATAGAATCCATAGTGCTTATTTTTAGTAGATTTTTATATTAGATCACACCTTGGAATGAAAATTTAGGATTGGAGAAGCTTAATTTTTCAGATTAAAAAAAAAATTAATTAATTTATGTTCTTTGCTGATTTATACCAAAATTTAAATGCATAAAATATAAGTAATAAACAGGAGACTAAAATTATGTGGAAATAGCCTGTTAAAAACCTTTATGAAAAATATGACACAAGTTTAGGTGAGGATTGCTTAACATTAGGTAATGACACACCTCAAAAATCACATTAAAATTTATGCAAAAAAGATGTACTTACATCAAGCGAAGCAGTCTGTGTACACTGATACTCAACTATACTTTAAACCAGGGATACAATATCAGGCAACTTAATACAATATTTCAACAATTTTCTCAATATTATTTTATTCATTTCATAAATTCATTTTGTACAGGGTAACAAGAAGTATTTGAAAAGCGATTATTGTTAATCAAAGAAACTCTGAAGATTGATGTCAGTTGCTGTAATTGTCATGTCGTTTATTGGTTCTTTTCTCTTCAGAAAAGTAGAAGGTACATAATAAATGCTATTTTAAGTTTCATCGATCATACTGTAGATAAGATTAAATACATTTATAGATCCAAATAAATTAACATTTAATCCGATTTCAAAGCAAATATTATTTTCAGTCCTGAAAGTCTTTTGTATGAGATTTTTTTTTTATTAGCCTGTAGCAGGGTATAAGGGGGCGTTAGGGTTAGAAAAGAAACTATAAGTTTGAAATGCACATTTCTTTATCCATGAAGTTCAAAAAGTTTAAGCTCAAAGCAATGTAGTCCTATCAAACATCTTTCAAAATGTCCTAATGCAAGCGCAAAACAAAATCATAACTGAGAGCATGGTTTAAATGAGAAAAATAGGTAAATGATAATAAACCATTTAAGAAAGGTAAAATATGATTTTAAAAATACCTTATTAATCTTAAAAAATAATATTAAATACTCTTTAAGATTGACAACTCTAAAATTATTTTTTTTTAAATGATTACTCTGATCTCTTTCATTTTAAAAGTGTTGAAAAGTTTCCAGCCGACCAATGATGAAACCTTTTTCACATGGGTTGATTTGACGAGGTTTCTGTGGGGAGGAGTGCTGGCCGCCTGTGGCCTGGGGTTTTGTTTGTCACTGCTGTTTTTCATGGACCAGAACATCTCAGCAGCTCTTGTCAATGCCCCACACAATAGGTCAGGGAGTTAAGTTGTACTTAAAAGAAATATCTATTGGAACCTTTTTATATCAATAACTTAGTTTATATTATTATATTAAAGTTTATATATCTCAGTGTATGGATAATAATATGCTCATAAATTCTATACACTCCTTTATAAAATTCTATAGTTAAAAATCCACTGGCTGCTTGACCAGGTATTAGGAAACAGAAATGATAAAATGTTAAATTATAATTATATTTTAGGTCCTCTAAAGGAGACTCCTTTTTTAAAATTGTATTATTTATTGAGGGTATGGTGGGAAGGGGTAGGGTTTTCGGGTCTATGGGGGGCCATTGTGTTGGCCGCCAAGGCAGTTGGGATACCAACAAATTTTAATTAAATTTATTCTCCTCCCTTTTCTCATATTGAAAAGGGAAGCCCTTAAGAAGTCTGCCATCAATGAGGCTAAGGCGAAACTAAATATTTATGTATATTCATACATAATAATAACTACATGTTTAATTCAAGTTTACTATTTAATTTATGGAAAAGTCTGTAAGAATGGTGATATTAAATCATTTTAATGAGTCAAAGCAGATGGGGTGCAAAATTTAACTTACATTTTTTTTTTAAATTTAGAGCCTTTAACTTTGTTTGAGTAATTATGAGTTAAGATATTTCATTTAACTTATTTATAGAAAATATATTTGATGTCAGGTTTATCACTGGGATCTGTTTGTAATAGCCGCCATCAATGTTGTCCTGTCTATGTTGTGTTTTCCATTGGTGCATGCTGCTCTGCCACATTAACGCTTCATGTTGTTGCTTTGACCGACATCAAGATAAAGGAAGAAAATGGACATGTATATCACTGGTTAGTATTCATGTCAGTAGTCAACTAACTTAGTTTAATTTTGACATGGTCCTCCAGTGGTTAAAAAATGATCATCTTATTAAGTTTACCAGCAATGCAGAATTTATATGATTATAAATACCCTTTCCTCTGTTAAAATGAGAAAAAAAAGTTTTTAAAAAATAGTAATAATAATTTCCCATTCAATATGTACATGTATCATTCATCTTTGTTTAAGCAATGAAGTTTTCCTGAAAAAAAATTGTGCCTTAACTTTCTAAGGATATAATTTATTATAAGCATACACACATGTAATTATTTTTGACAGTGTTGTGAAAGTTAGGGAGACGAGAATCACCAGTATTGTCTCCCACACTTTGATAGAACTCAGTCTGTTGATTTTGTCCATACTAACCTACATTCCTACTCCTGTGTTCTATGGCCTGTTCCTGTTAGTAGTTATTACATCATTGTTTGGTAACCAGATTTTTGAAAGGATTCAGTTATTCTTCACAGAGAAAGTAAGTTCATTATTTTAACACAATACTCTTTTTTTTTTAATGCCATTAAGTGTTGCGATGTGTAAATCAGTTTTATTAGGGTCTTTAGAGAATATTCAAATATTATGTTTATTGCTGTTTTCCCTGTCAATGCTAAAATTTGTACCAGTGAAAATGTCCCCATAATTGATTTTTCTTTTCATTTTGTTGTTGTTTGGTTTTGAGTAAAAACTTAAATATATGATTCTGTTTAAACCTTAAAAAACAAGAATGAAGAATTCATTTCAAATAAATACTGCTATCCATGTTTCATAAACTCTTATTTATTTGAAAGGCAGCTTATCCACCAAGGCCATACATAAGCATAGTGCCACATAAGAAACTTCACATGTTCACTGGTCTTCAGCTGGTACAACTGGCAGTTCTCTGGATTGTTGGCTTCACACTTTATCCTTACCTCAAGATGTTCTTCCCTGTTTTCATTTTCTTTCTCATTCCCATTAGGTAAGTTTTTGTATGATACAAAACTATTTTGTCACAATTATTACATTAAAAAAAATACCTGTGTTTTTCTAAAATCTAAAAGAGGAAAATTTAATCCCTTCCATTAAAAAAATATTTTAAAAAATTTCACTAGATTTCTCTGTATTTATGAATGTTATCTTGTTTTTCCACATGTGCTAAAATGTAATAACTGGTGATGTTTTCACCATTATTAATGTAATAAATCAATTTCCTCTAATAAAAGCCTGTATTTTTATCTTCTTTTAGGTTTTTAGATTTTTCTGATTCATAAAAATGCCAGATTAAATTTCTTAATTTTAGATACTGCTTATATCAGGTCGGCGAATTAAGGCATGCATGCCCAACTTGGCACATTGCTTCAACAGCACATGGAGGATCAAAATATAGTAATTATTTTAAGATACGATAGAGCAGGAAGATTACTGAATAAGTGTTTGAAACACTAAACAAATTATAAATCCTGCTCTGGAACAATATTACCTAAAGGTTGCCAAACCCTGGTTTAAATAATTGCTATTAATAAACAAATAAATAGCTAAACCAACAAAAACTTTATTTTTTGTATATGTCCAGGCATAAACTCATTCCTAAGGTAATTGAACAGAAGTACCTGAACGCCTTAGATGGACTTTAGACTGGCAAACCTTTACTGGGAAGGATTAAAAAAATTCAAGGTAATTAAAACGTATGCTATATCACTATGGAAACTCAAGTTGGGATTCCACATCTGTAATTTATTAAAAAAAATTATTGTAGCTATTTGACACTAAAATTGTTTGAACTAAAACACAAATGACAATAACCCCCTAGTTTAGAAGATAGAGAAACTCTGTAAATTACAAAATCGTTCTTGGAAATATAATTTTTTAAAACAATATTGAAACCTAATCTGCACATTTGTATGAAATATATATATTGATTAGGCTACATTTACAATTTATTGAAAACTACAACAGAAATTCAGTTGGACTTCTATTTAAAAAAAAAAAACTCTCAATTTTATTAATTCTTTTTAAAATCTTATTTTATATAATCTAAGTATGCTTCATATTCAAGTTGGGTAATGGGGTATTGGAAGTGGTATTTTTAATATTTATTTTATGATCAGTAAATTAAGGCATCCTACCTCNCCCCCCCCCCCCCCCCCCAACTTTTACAGAAGAAAATGCTTGACAATATAAATAAGAAGGTTATAATAGCCTTTAAAAAAGTTGAATTAGATGATGTCAATGAAAAAAATTAACAGACAAGAAGCTTTCGTAGGACAAAAAGGTTTAAAGGCAGACATAGACACAAAGTCATTCATTTGAAATCTTTTGCATTATTTATTGTCTTGTACATTAATAAAAAATTAGCAAGTAAGTAAAAAAAAAAAAATGTAATAAATCTAATTGTATTATGACAAAGAACTAAATGCAAGCAAGACTGGAAATTTATGACGTAAAAATAAATACACATGTTGAAAGTTAAAACTCAGTACAGTGACAAAAAATAAATTGTTGAAAGATGATGAGATGTGCCTCGGCGGTGTTGAGTGATAGAGACCCTACGTCGCACAAAATATAAACAATGCAATTAAGCACTATTACTATTAGAAAACAAAATAAACAAATAATAGTATTATTATATTATGCACTAAATATGCCAGATCTATGTTGGATAATGACTAGCTAAAAAAAATATCACATAGTCAATTTTTACCATAAATGGGCATACATAGGATATAATAACTGGGGTTCATGCGTTCATGAATTCTTAGAAATCTATTTCTCAGTTCTGTTGTTATTCTGAGAATTTAATGGGGAAAATAAGATACAAATACTATCTTTTTTTTACATTTTTATACAAGACACTTTAACAAGGGTATAATAGAGGAATGTAGAATCTAAAGAAGTGATCTAAAGGGAATACTATGATTTATTAAGAAACACTCCAATTAGATAGAAGTTTAGAAGTAAGGATTTGTTCACTCAAAGTATGTCTATAAATCTGACTGTAAATGCAAAGGTAATGAGTAAGTCTTATATGAAACTTACTAGATTCAAGACCAGCATGGAATGTATAACTATTAACAGTTAACACATTGTAAAATAAAAAAAAATAAAAAAAACTCTGTAATAATCCAGTTTTATCACAGTGACTGATTAGTTAATGCAGAGCGTTTTCCTTTTCCAGTACAACTTTTTACAATATACTAGAAAGTTTTTTTTTTAGAACTTTAGCTGCCTTATTTATGATGCTACAGCAATATTGATGAAATCTTATCATCTAAAATAAATAGATATTCAATAATTTTCTATTTCTATTAATTAAAATAAATACATTCGAATATTTGATTAGAATTTAAAAAAAGGTATAATTCTGCTGTTTTATTTACATCATTTTGAGGTTAAAATTAAATTTTGTTGTTTCATAAAAAAAAAAGAAATTTGAACTTTTGGTATGCTAATACAAGTTTATATGAACATTTCAATCTAATAAATGTTTTTCAGTGACATTCAACATATTTTAACATGCAATTTAATATATAATGTAAATTTTTATCTTTACTATATAATGAGGCAGACCTGTGGACTTTTGTAAGGCAATTTATCTTACTTCAGATTCTTATTCCTTTCATCTAATCAACCTTTATTACGTCAGGGTCCTCAACAAGCTTATTGTGAATCTGCATCAAGCCCTTGAAATACTTGACAGTCCTGACACGCAGCTCCATCGTGGCATCCTCGTCGCAGAGAAATATGGTGCGGGGATGCTGCTGGAAAGCAGAGACGGTCCACATGTGGTTTACCCCCTCTTCAATGGCCTTGTGCAGGGCGAAGGCTTTGTGTGCTCCAGTGATCAAAATCATCACCTGTAACAGGCCAGATAACCATATAAGAATGCCCAGAGCAAGGTTTATTGAAAATAAAAAACATTGCTAAATTAATTTTTTTTTTTTTAAAACTAACCATAAAAAAATGTGCAGTATTTTCTCATCTTTAAAATTATCATTTCTTAAAAGCTGGACAACTTTGTTTTTTTTCTCCATAATTACATGCCAGGAATAGTATTAAAAAATTATATAGTTAAATAGTCAATAAATCATTTAAAATGTAAAAGCTGGACAAGATCAAGGTGTATGGTAAAAAAATAAAAATAATATTTAAAAGAAATTACTACTACACAACTACAGGGATTATGTTTTTGAACATATGAAAAAAATTAAAAAATCAACAAGGCTATAGTTAGGCTCAAATTAGAAATTAACAAATAAAATAAAAGCACTGATTTATGCTTACTGTAGAACTAAACAATAAACTGTTGATGATGATGTGAATCAAAAGAAGCTAGGGATAACAATGGGAATTACCTCATCAGCATCCATGACCGTACCCACACCCACAGTGAGGGCTTGAGTTGGAACTTTCTTTAAGTCATTACCGAAAAACCTGGCATTTGCCAGAATGGTATCCTGTGCCAGGGTCTTGACCCTTGTCCTAGATACCAAACTTGATCCGGGCTCATTGAAAGCTATATGGCCATCAGGCCCAATACCTGTGATAACGAACACAAGTGTTTAAAATCTTCTTAAATAAAACCAGTTAAATTTTTAAAAGGTAGCTATTGCTAGTAATAAATTGCTGCACTGTGGTGTAATGGTAGCATTTATGTCTGCCTCATATAATAACCAAGAGGTTATGGTTTCAAACTATGGGCCCACCATGTAACCAGGTGGAAATGACTCAACAGCTGAACATGGCAGCCATTATTGGGGGGAAGGTAAACCCTGATTAAAAAAATTTAAACTGGAAAGCCAACAGCAAATCTTACAATGACACACACTTTTTTCTTCTTTTGACTACTACCAAGCAACAGAAACTTGTATACCCACAAGTAACTAACACCACTACCTCTACCATGGCCCACCCCACCAATATCATTGCACCAATTATTCCCATCCCGTCTCTAGCCTACAAGTAAAATTGAAATACTGAGCCCTACTTATTAAATAAGTATTTATGTTGACACATGGCACACTAGATCAATGTGCATGCATCACTACATTATATACAAGATTCACAATATACATGAATTCATGCCTGACATGACAAATTCTCTATGACTATGATAACAAAAAAATCTAATTGGGATGTGTTTTTCAATTAAAATTTATAAGGACAATTGCAAGGCTTAGAAGAACAATGATGAGATCGTGAACATATGGCAACATTAAATACAGTGAAAAGAGTCTGACATTAAATACAAGACAAACAGGAAGTGTCACCTCCAATAAAGAGTCTGATGCCTCCAGCTTCTTTGATGATTTTTTCATAGTTGGTGCATTCTTTCTCCAAGTCCTCGGCATTGCCGTCCAGGAGGTGTGCATTGTCTGGCTGAATGTCAATGTGTTTGAAAAAGTTTTCCCACATGAAAGAGTGGTAGCTCTCGGGGTGCTCTCTTGGTAGAGCTAGTTGGGTGGGATATGGTGGAAAGATGTGGTTCAAATATTAAACGAATCCCATGTACTTGTAAAAATCATACATGTATGTTATGCACACAAAAAAATAATTTAAAAAATATATATACATACATACATACACACTGTATTTTGTGTACACATATCTGTATGTGTTGGTAGTCCACAGATAATATAAATATTGTGCTCATAAAACAGAAATACCCATGGTAATTATTTAAGAAAGTTTTGCCCTTATTTTAAAGAAAATGATTAATGGCATGGAACTTAAATCTAAGATGAAATGATACAGACAGTGTGTGAATGATATAAAACAACAACAGAAAGAGACATGTCCACCACTAAGATAAAAAATAAGTACTTTAATACATTGAATGTTTGTGTTTCGGAGATTATGTTGAAATTCAAGACCGGAGACTTACCCACATATTCATCCATATTGAAAGTCTTGACATAACGAAATGAAAGCTTCCCAGCTTTGTGGAACTCAATCAGCTTCTTGTACATTCCCAGCGGTGTGCTGCCTGTTTTTAAACCAGTGATTTATTTAGCAAGATCTCCCATTTCTAATTATGTGCAGTTGTTTTTAATGTGTTTAGAAGCATTGTAACAAATAATGAGATGTATACTAATAATGCAAAGATGTCCAGTCCAAATAGTAATTGGTAATCCTTTCTAGATAATTTGATCCTGTCCCCCTTCTAAGCTTTTTACATTATACTTTTTAGAATAGTTTGAACTTTTTGACTTAAAACATTTATCTTGTAACAAAAAAATATTTAAGTCTACTCTCTATAAGATAAGTTAATACAAACAGAAAAATGACAATATAATTTTTAACTTTAAAAATACATCTAGTAATATTTCCTATTTCATTATAACTAATCAACAGATACATTTTCTATACAGATAAAAATAAATTTCTGTATAGCTTTCAAGGATACAAAAATATGTGTAAAACTATAAACTAATGCTTGGGCCTTTAAACCAGTAAAAAAAACCACAATGTATCATTTCCCTGTTTTGCCAAAGACATCTTTTCTCTTTTGTTCCAAAAATAACTGTTTAAACAACAATCTAAAGGTCACTGTGAATTACCTGTTGGTAGGCCAAGTGTAAAATACTTGTCCGGGCCTGGGTTGAAGTTAATAATGCTCCTTCTAACATACTTAGCAGCCCATAAAGACACCTCATCGTAGTTCTCATGAATCACAAGTCGCATTTTTTAGTGTTACAGTTTCCTAAACAATTCAAAAGTCAAGTAGTGGTATCTACTCTCATATATTTATTTAATGAGCCTGAAATTAAAAAAAATAAATGCCATAATCTTTAAACATAATCTAATCATTTTATGAATGAAGCACTTGAATAAAATATTTCAGTGCTGGCTTAGCGTTTTAATGAAAGAAGATAAACCATCCTTACAAGAAAGGCACGGAGTAAACATGATTTTAGAGTTATTTGAAGATATTGAGTTAAAAGATATTTGTCACATACATTGAGTTAAAAAAGCTACTTGTCACTCATTTATACAATTGTTCTGTTACATATCCATTTGTATCACTCCAATGTAAGTTTTTGTTTAATCTCAAATTCAAATCTTTTGCTGTTCATAATGCCAATAGTTTCATGATACCTCTATGACACCTCAAGTCCTGAGCTGTCCAGATATGTTCTTGTTGGTGACACATTTTTTCGACATGCATCATTTCACAACACAGTCATTCAGGTTTACTGACACACTAAGGGCTAAACTTAACAGCTTATAAGAGATGCGGATACTTCAAAGTATTGTAATAGTGAAATGGCATGAAAACATTTCATTTGTATCTTTAAAAAATATACTTTGTAAATTATCAAAAAACATTTTCAGCTCAGTTAAAATATTGGTAAAATAACCAACATTCTTTGTTATGAAGTCAACTCTTTTCTCTATTACTTAGGACAGTTAGCCAACTACTGTGTAAACTGACAAAATAAACATTTTCTCAGGTAAACCAAAATAAGTTGAATAAGTTTGGACAAGCTTAATTTTTTATTTTTTTTTAAAGGCACTCATTGTCAACAGATACACAGTGGCTTATTTTAATTACAGAAGTTAAATTAATAAATATATTGGATTATGACTCTAAATCCCCTTAACCATTCTTTGGAAGGAGATTTTTTTTTAAAAGTCTTAACTTACCTTAAAATGCACAATGGGAAGTCTGTTTCAAATGTGATTGTGGTTAAGCATACAAACAAATGAGAGGTAGGGGACAACAGATAGAATGGTGTGTGGTACATGGCCTTAAAGTTTTTAAGAAGTATGCACTGGGTCTTAACATTCTACCTGCTAGGGCCAATCAACATTCATATGGGGTTAGAAGTAAGAGGTATTTCCATCAGTTTACAAATCTGGCAAATATCCATCACAAATACTTAGCACTAACCAGCACACAATGCCCACCCAGTAGAGCCCTAAACATTACATGGCCAGGATTTTTAATTCAGTAGTTGTACATCAATTTATTAAAATAATTAATAGAGCCTAGTAGAAGGCCCGCACCGGGGGGGGGGGGGGGGGGGGGCAACCATGGCACTTGTCAAGGGCCTGAGCTAGACAGGGGCCTGTCCTTTTTTTAGTTTTTAAAATACATACACATGTTTGAAACACGAAAGGGCCCAAACTCTGTCAGCCGCCTGGGGCCCTGAATTTCCTAGGTGCAGGCCGGCTAGTAGCCCTAGCTATGGTCTTTTGAAGTAGGCAAGAATACTACAACAAATTGAAACAAACACTAGTGACCATACTGCAAAATACTCCCAGGGTGGTATGGCCAACATGCATAGTGTACTGCAAAGCCACTAGCAGCATAGACATAAGATTCGCTAGAACAGGGGTTAGCAACCTATGGCACACATACCAGACTGGGCACTCATAGCAATTTTTGTTTAAAGTTATATAAAAGAAATTACTTTTAAAAATGTGTCTTATAAGGTAGACCTTTCGGCAATCCTCCAAAGTCCGGTCCCAAATTATTTCCTATGATTACTCCTTACTTAAAAGTCTTAGAAATTCATGTTTGCGGTAGTGGACGATGTTGGATGGAGGTTGTTGGCCGTCGAGATGCACAAACACTCGAGCACATTATCACTAATCATTATGTTACCAGGGACAGCCATCGTCACGGACGCTTTGGCGAGGATATCAAAATGTTGGTCAGTTCAACAACGGGATTTATGCACAAACTGTCATGTGCATGCGCGTGAATTTGTTGATCCAGTAGACCAGGACATTCACACATAAAATAATGAAGGACTTTGGATTCAAGGGAAACGAAAACGCCGCTATCAGAGTCAAAAGTCGGAGTGGTACTAGTCGCGGTCGTCTGTTTGCAAGCTAGTTGGGGGCCTTTCAGTGGTGCAACAGTCACAAGCAGAACGTTTTCGGCTGCTATTTGCAAATGCTATACGCCAATTACAATATTTAGTATTTACTGACTGGTTTGTAAAGTGTCAGTTATTTGCAAAAGCCATGACTGACATGTCTGCTGTTTTCTAACAATAAACACTGTGCACTGCATTTTTTTCATATGAAGTAATTTGGGACCGACTTCGGAGGATTGCCGACCTTTCAATTTAATAGGTTTTGGCCCCCTAAATTGATTAGAAATCTTAATTTAGCCCAATATTACCAAAAAGGTTTTCAATATTTTATAAACAAGGATGAAGTTCACACTAATCAATCTTATTACCATTTTTAAAATTAGATAGTCTTAATTTCTTTTTTAATGCACATGCTCATTCACTCATTCCAAAATATTTGGACCATTTGAAATTTACATTACACAGATCTATTCTGTGCATGACTTTGAGTTAGCGGAAATACACTCTCTTTTCAAGTATGATAAAAATGCAATGCTCATGGCAAGGGCAAGGCATATCTCTTAGGTGTAAGGTGTAAGTGTAGACTACCATGGAAATAGTGGAATAAGATTTGTTAAGACTTGCAAATGGAAAGACAGGACAATTGTGTACCACGTTCATTGTCCATTCCATGCAAATTTACTGTAAACTAATCCATACCCATACATTTAAATTATATTTGTACAGGCCCGTATTAATATTATACTTATAGTTATAGGCCTACACTGGTGACTGATCTTATGCCACTTATTGGCTAATTAATGGCTAGGTTTAATATTTCCGATTATTATTATTATGTCTATTTCTCTATCCTCTATCATTGAAAGTATTCACTATTGAAAGTACTGACTGACATTGACACACCCAAGCTCAAACAACAACTAATCAAGTCATTTTCAACTGATCTGCTTATAATTTATGATGTAAAACTTGATCTTCTAATAAGCCTTCCAACGTTACCTTCAATATACCTACAACAGCACTACTGACAATCAGCTGACAAGCAAAAGAAAGCTGCAAATCATACCGTCGGCAAGGTTGGCCTTCCTGGCCTTAGGCTGGCGTTGTTTCGAAACCTAAACTATACCTAAAACTAAAACTAAAGACTAAATTAGTTTAATAATTTTGGGTTGGCGATGCGTCTTGACCTCCTTTTATTTCTCAAAGCACAGGAACTGAACCTTAGCCCTTGACACTTTACAGATAAGATAAAAGTTGAACTCACAGGTTACATTCGATTTTGGTCGACTTTAATCTTAGATTAGAAGAAGAAGAAGTGCGTCGTACGATGGTCTCGTTTTTCCTTCTGATTATTTGGGGGTTGTTTACGCTGTTTGATCATGTGATCTCTAAATTTAGATATGACCTTAAAAGGCTAATACAAACGCCAGAGAACTAAAGTTGCATACGAAATATATATATATATATTAACAAAAATCCTTCGGGCCTAATGTTATGGTTATATTTTATGATACTAAATCCATTTTAATTCATGTTAAAATAAAATAAATAATAATAATAATAACTTGCATTAATTCCATTCCAAGCCATCCCTGACTGCATGACTGTGAGTTCCAGGGTTTCTTTCAACTTTCAGCTAGATTTCCGGGGGGGGGGGGGGGGGGGGGGGCCGGACCCCCGGGAAAAAAAATACAACAACAAAAAAAACACGACCCCCCCCCCCCCCCCCCCAACAATAAATCAACCGACACTGCCCCCCCCCCCCCAAACCGGGTGAGGAGGAAAAAAAACTGTAAACAATTTTTAAGGGTAATAAGTCAATACGTGTAAAAATATTTATTTCAATCAAGTTTTCAGCATTTTATGGCTCTTTACACAAAGCTCGATACATTTTTTAATTACACACAAAAGCATAGAAAACATGAACATAAAACATTTTAGGACCTTGAAATTATAATGACAAAGAATATAAGTTTAGAAATGTAGGCTATGGCTTGAGGACGGTGAACAAGGATCCCCCACCCCACATAAACACTCTTTTCTTTCCAAGTCTTCATACACTATGTTCATCTCAACTCCCCCTCTCTCTCTCTCTCTCTCTCTCTGCAGTCTCTGAGCCTCAGGGGGGTGATTTTTAATTACCGTACTAGTTTTTAGGTGACTAAAGTAGGCCTTATTGTTGACTTTAGCCAGACTATTTTCTTTTTTTTTTTTCTAAAGAAAAGCTGTGTTTTTTTGTTTTTTTTTTTTTTTGTTTTTTTTGAAATTTTTATTGTTGACTTTTGTCTTTTTTTTTTCTTTTTTTTTTTCTAAAGAAAAGCTGTGTTTTTTTGTTTTTTTTTTTGTTGTTTTTTTAGAAATCTTTCCTTGCATTAAAACCGAAGTAATTTTTGTTTACTTAGGTGTAGTGTAATTCTTTATCAGATATATTGTTCTTTCTTATACATGACTTTGCTATTATTTAGCTTCATACTGATTTCAATGGCTGAATTAGCTATTTAGCACTTTCTGAAGCTTCTGCTGCTTGGTGGCCAAAAGAGCAGTTAACGATAATCAAGAGCTGCACGAATGCATGAAATGACGAATTACCTCTTTGAAAGTGTAACTGGTTTGGAAATTGAAATATTGTATTAAACTAAAATTAGTGCATTACAAAAAAGGCCTAGCTAATACAGGTGTGTGTCCTGAGCATGAGCTAGAGGTTACTGTGTCATCGGTCTTAATAATATTACTCAACATTCAAGGTGAAGTTCACATTATAATGCACAAATCATAAACAATGTCAATGGGACTTCAAACCAATTACTTGGATTGTTGAAACTTAAGGCACGGAACACATGGAAAAGGGACACGGTGAGAGAGAGAAAGAGAGGGAGAGAGAGAGAAAATATAAAAATGGGAATGAACTGTAAGGAATATGTCTAAAATTGAATTTTCAAGATATAGAATGTAACCACTATCCCCAAAAATAATTGTGTTCTCATATGGCACACAGCGCTGTCTTCCAATAATCAGACATGGGATAGCATTAATCATTAAGTCGTAGTCAAGAACCAATAGTTTCAACACCTGGCAAATAACTTCTTAACTCAAACTCAATGCTCTCATGTGATTTCACTCAAAAAGTGTTTTCTGTTAAACGTACACAGTTAATATTTAAAATAAAATAGAACGTAGACATTATAAGTGCTTAGTTAGAGTTTACTAGTTCAGTGCCCCAGCTAAGGAGGGAGAGACGGACAGATTAGTGCTTAATTAGAGTTTACTACTATTAGTACTTCAGTGCCATTGCTAAGGAGGGAGAGGTGGGCAGATTCCCCGGGCGCCAGACATTTTGGAGGCGACGAAATTGAGTTAAATGGTATTTTGTGATAAAAATAAAGGTTTACAGGGTTGGGGCAGCGTAAAATAAGTCTTGTTTTCGTACTAAAAAAACTCTAGCTATGCCTTTATAGAAGAATATTAAAAAATCTAATTATGCTAAAATTCCTAGCAGGTGAAGTCGGATAATAACTTAGCCTGAATCTTTCTGGAATCTCGGTAAGTGGGATGATCTGTGTATGTTAGTGTAAACAATATGGCCGTTAGAACAAGTGAACAGCTCATCTTGATTTTGAAAAGATACTTACCAAGGCAAAGACATCCTCTAAATAAAAAGCATTTTTTTATTTCAAACTCACTACCTTTAACTAAATACAATAATATCCAGTTGCGCCTTTCAGAGAAAGATATTTTCCAGCGCATTACTAGTTTATTTTGTCGAAATTTCGTATCAGTTTTTTCCTCGCTTGGTCTCATAGCCGGAGTAGGACTTGTCAGGGTCGATGGCTCCGTTTTTCTTGGCGAGCCGGGCGTTGTTCTCTTATCGTCCTCGTCCTCAAATAAGTCTATAGGTATGAAGAAAATAGTGTAAATTTGGAGAGATGTCACGACATGGCCGTCATCTTGGTTGACACGACCAGTTAATTCTGTCACTAAACTAAAAATGTAATTTTTATGTATCCCTAAACCTAACCTGAACCCTAAATATATCCCTAAACCTAACCTGAACCCTAAATATATCCCTAAACCTTACCTGAACCCTAATTCACTGCAACTATAATAAACACGCAAATGACGTCATGCTGACATCTCTCCAAATAAGCCGAAAAGAGACATCCCATAATATTTTAAATACAAGTTAGTAATAATAATTGTGGACAATCAGAAATAACACCTACAGTAGAACTTAAGTCTTAAGCTATGTCAATGTGTACATGACATGGCCATTGCTCTAATTCAAAGTTGTTATGTTACCCTCATTCGAAAAGAAAGAGCCAGTTCAGTAGACCAAATTAGTTAACATAGAAAGACTCAGTCAGAATGAGTAAGAGATAAAAGTTTAGATAAAAAAATGTGGGTTTACCTGTTAGGCTTAGGACCTACCGGTAGTGAATATAGTTATAGTAAATGTACTCAAAAGATAGAGAATAAAAAAGATGATGAAATATCATAATCATACTTCAGAATAACATTAAATTGTATTTGCATAGGCATATTAAAAGTTAGGTTCATACACTGTCTTCGTTTCAAAAAATTATTATTTAACTATTAAAAATACTGGTAAAAGTAAAGGTATATGGTAATCAATGGTGTGCTAACTTAAGACTAAACTAACTTAATTTTTAAAAGCATTCATCACAAAATTTTTAAAGACATTACTTCCATAACTCAATATCAATATTTGTCTTCATCTCTCTGTAGATTATATGTATATGTTGCTTCGATTAAATGTCTCTTCATGAAATGTCTGTCAATAACATCCCCCCCCTCCCTATCTATCGCTCTCATTTAGTGATGGCTATGGCTATAACTATTTTCCCCATCAGTAAGAATTTATTAATCTTGTGTTTATCAGTAAACATTGCTGATGTAATTTATTATGGTTTATTAAGCAAATGAAATGTATGAAGTTAAAATCTGTAGGATAGTCTTAGTACGGTATTTATTCAATATTTGTTTGCAATTTTAAACTAACAATTATAATCAACACATACATTTAAACAGATGATGCTCTATTAACAGCCTGTAGGCTGGGATTAGCATCTGAGGTCTCAAGGTATGATGAATGAATGTATGTAATTATTTTTGTCTCCCTTTTCACTGGTCTTAAATTAGCTTTTCAATATGATTTCAAATAAGCAATGAGGTACCTTTCCTTTTTAATTGGAAAAAAAAAGTTATCTATAGGTAAAAGCGAAGTCATTTTAAGTAATTTGCAGTACCGGTAATTATTTAACAGAAAGTACTGTTGAAACTTTTTAAAAACTACAACACATCACAATTTAGCTAATTATTTTCATTTTTTAGCAGTGATAGCTAACTAAATTTCTGTTAATTAAATATTCTTTTATTCGCTGAACTATTAAGGGTATAATTGTGCATTGTTATTGTTATTACTGGTAAATCAATAATTTCTATTATTTATACCCGAAATGAATTTTCAATTTATTCGCTGAACTATTAAGGGTATAATTGTGCATTGTTATTACTGGTAAATCAATAATTTCTATTATTTATACCCGAAATGAATTTTCAAAATTTAAAAAAACAGACTATTAAAACTTGGAGCCCAACCAGATAAGTGTCATGAGCTCGGATGGACAGCACTTCATGTTGCTGCAGTTAACAGGAAATCCAAGTAAGTGCAAAGGAAAGCATTGGAAATTTAGTCTATTTAAATTCAACATTTAAAGCAGATATATTATATGAGAATGGTGTGCAGCTACAATATTGGATTTAACTTTTTTTTTGGTGTGTGGGCTGAATTTTATCTACTATTATATTTCTTTTTTATTTTAAAAACAAATGAAAATTTTACACAAATAATTCTTACAATATATTAATGCCGGTACCGGTAATATATATTATAAAATTAAACATTTACAGAATAGTAGAGCTTCTTCTAGGAGCAGGTGCAGATCCCAATTGTCTAGATCAGTTTACATCTGTAACGCAAAAGGCTAGAGAGAAGCAGTTAAATAGTTTACATGGTAAGTCAAGTAGACCACCTACAAGAAAGGTCTAAAAAAACAACTTTTGACTGTTATTAAGTTATTATAATACTTTGCAGGTAGTTGAACTTAAGTCTTGCAAAAAGAGGTATCAATGAGTCAGACTGAGTTAGGTAAATCTATAGACAATTTTTTATCAATAGCAAATCAAAAAAATGATATTTGAAAAAAAAAACTAAGCTCCATATAAATATAACAGTAGCTTTACCCCTGGCTGTAGAACATATTTAAATTTGTTAATCTTTTCTATGCTACTGAAAAGGACAATCAATGTTTTTTAAAATGTACTTCTCTTAATTTTTAAATGCAATTTCAGGTCAAAATATTTGTTGAAAAGATGATCTATGCTGTTAATTTGAAATTATCAAAATGCTTCGTAAAGAGAATATTTTATCCCTTAGACTGAGTGTAATTTGTGATTTCGTTTAAATTGCATTTATAAATTATGGATACCTGCCTGCTACTGAGTTTTGTTAAGAAAATGTATTTAATTAATAATACAATAAAAGGTACAGATTTCTAAGCTTATAATTTAAGTACGGTATTTTTGTCTCTAGTTTGAAAGTGGGTTTTAAAATTTTCGTTCTTTCTACATGAATAGTTTTACTCACAAGAGAGGAGGAGTTTTCTGATAGACTCAGCAACCGTGCAAATTTTCAGAACTGTACACCACTACATTATGCTGCCCTTGTCAATGACATTGAGAGCATCAAATTGCTTTTGGAGGCTGGTACATTAATTTCTATTATTTTAGTGGGTTTTTAAGGTTATTATTATTATTATTATTATCCACCGTTTATTGGTGAGTTCTGTAAGAGCTGAAAAAAACATCTGTCACCACCACCCTCTCGGACACATATTTTTTATTCTGTTTTTTCTGTTGTTAATTCGCTAATGAAGGCTTCCTGGCGACACGTTAGTTGTTTTGTTGCTTTTGTTTTTTCAGGTTTAACCTTACTTTGTTTGACTCATTTCCACCACCTAGTACCGGTACCAGCAATTTAGAACACTTTAAGTTATAAACCCTTTAAAAAATAGTTCACAGTCTTTAGAGGTCTAGCTACTGGTAGGGTGTTTAAAGATTGTAGAACACAGGTGTTTTCTTATTTTATTTAAAATGGGATTTTCTCAGTTTATTATATGATTATTTTGCGATAGTTCACAGTCTTTAGAGGTCTAGCTACTGGTCGGGTGTTTAAAGATTGTAGAACACAGGTGTTTTCTTATTGTTAATTAAAATGGGATTTTCTCAGTTTATTATATGATTATTTTGCGATTTTGATCCAAAAATGATTAAGTTCATTAAGTCACACACGATATTAATTTAATGAGATAAAATTATAACATTGATAATTTTTTCAGTGTTTAATTAAATATCCTTTAAAAGAGTTAGTTTTACACTCTAAAAAATATTTGTGAAGCCTAGATAATCGTTAAACATAATTCATTAAGGTACTGTAATAACATCTTGCTTTTTATACAACAGTATCACAGTACGGTAATAACATCTTGTTTTTTTTACAATACCACAGTAGTGTAATAACATCTTGTTTTTTATACAACAATAGTACTGTACTGTAAAATCATCTTGTTTTTCATACAACAATGCCCATGTCATAAATTTAATTCTACAGGTGCAGATCCAACAATTGAAAATACTTTGGGGCATAAGGCTATTGAGTATTCCAGAGATGCTGAAGCTACAGAGCTCATTGCAGTTTATACCAAAAAGGTATTAAATTAATGATTATTAACATTGAACAACATTTAGTTGCTGTGGGTGCAATAGTTATATTATTATTATTATCTGGTACCAGAGTAATACATTAATAAAATTGTATGCTTTTTATCAACACTTAGTCGCTTAGCAGATATTCATATGTACATGGTTGTTGATAAGGTTAGGAATTTTTGTTGGGTCTCCAAGAATGAAAACATTGCAAGAATTTGAATGTTATAATTGTAAAATCATTCTCAAGTTTTCAATTAAATATCCCATATTTGAAGTCTCACACTCACAATGACGTCATTTTCCATGGTTGTGGGGAGAAGGATTGTGAACAAAATAGAAGATTTTATTGAATGATACCTGTGTTATGGATGATTTATATTATATACCGGTACCCGTAAATTTGAAATAGGAGTTTACATTTTCCCTTTAATGTAATTTCCACAAGAACAAAAGGACACCGGTAGTTCTGGTAATGTTTCGTTGCTGCATCCATGTACTGGCATCTTTGCAACGGTTGGGGATATGATGTTGCTATTTTAACAGCTCCTAGCTGATGCCAGGGCAGCCTTGAAGCTTTCGACCGATTTCGAGTTCACAGAAGCATCGTTCAGGTGGTTCCGCATGGGAAGAAATATTGTTGATACCGGTACTGCACTGTGGTACTTTGAAGCATTTTCTATTGTTTCTGGTGTAATTATTTATGGGAATGTCAGTGGTTAAGTCAGTGTTCAGTGAGCGTTTTGCTCTGATCAGTCTACCCGGCTTTTGTTGGGTGAGGTACGTGCCTGCTGGGATGGCCGGCACCAGTCCCATGATCACTTTATATAAGAATATCAGGCGGAGTCCCTCTCGTCTGTCTTTAAGGGGTGGGATGTCAAATCTTTTTATGAGGCCAGTGATGAAGCCAGGAGTGGTGGATTTGTAGTCTCGAGCGATAAAACGCAGCACGTTACGTTGAATTCGCTCCATCGTGTCCATGTCTTGCTTAAGGTGTGGGTCCCAGATGATCGCACCATATTCCAGTAGTGGACGGACGAGTGTGAGATTGGCATTTCGTTTGCAGGAAGTTGGGTAGGTATTGGGATAATTGCCTAATTTTTGTTAAAGCTATCATTACAGGTATTTAATTTAAGTTATTTAAGATGGTTGTTTTCAATTCAGAGTGTTATTTTCTAAATCCAACTGATAGATTCATGATAAGAAAGCGGCTGAGGAGGCAGATGAGAGAAGACGGTTTCCTTTAGAACAGAGATTGAAGGAACACATTATTGGACAGGAAGCAGCCATCAATACAGTAGCAGCAGGTAGATAGCTGTTTGTTGGTCATTTTGATAAATTCTTCCTCTCCATAAATAACACTTTAAATCCACATAGCACATGGAGTAAAAGAAAAATTAACTTCTACTTCTATCCACATGACTTTAAAAAAAAAAAAAGCCAGTTTCTATAAAGATTCCCATTATATCATTGGCATATTTACCTGATGATGATTTTGTTAGCAACCAAATATATCAGCAGTGACACCTTAGAGGGGGCATAACTGTCAATGATTGGCCATTATGACAGTATAGGGTTAAAAACCAATATTGGTATGGTTCATCAGTAGGTAATGCTAGCAATGATACCATGGCATTTAAAACTGTTGAGTTGAGAGCCCCCAAAGGGATCACCAGGTCAAATTAACCCAGTCCTGCCTAACCTACTTTTGATGTTAACTCTCTCATATGTCTAAGTTAAGGGGTAAAAATGCTGTTAAGAAACATACATTATTAAAAAAAAAGACGTCTACCACTCACCGGGTAATATAAAAAGTAAAAAGTCTTTGTTTTTTTTATTAGTATAAAAAAAAATTGAATGAACCATTATATAATTACAATTTTAAAAACTGGTTATTTAGAGAACAACCCTTCAATTGTATTATCTGAAGTGGATCATATTGGTACATTTTAAGAAGTTCACTTTCAGAAAATGTACATGTATTTATTGTAAGTACCGGTATCTGAATTAAATTTGTATGGAGGGTTTTGTTATTTTAGACTAGCATATCGAAGTGGTGCAAATGGCTGGAATTTGAAGCCAATGAGCAAATGCTGTCGACAGTCATGAGTCATAGGGTGAAAGTCTGTTTCAAATATTATTTTAACTGTCTGTATAGTGCATCAAATTACCTCGTACATAATTTCAATAGATTTTATATTGATCTGTTTGATTGTTTCATCAGCTAAACTTTGCATACGCTTGGAAAGCCATGCTGAATTTTAGAAATTTTTTTATTATAAAGTTAAAGATAAAACAAGTCAGCTTTTGTCAAAAAGAAAAGTTATGTTTTAATTTAACTTAAGCAGATATGTTGTAAGATGGTACTGGTAGTTAGAGTGTTGATCTGAACAAGTCAATCTTTCAAATCTTATGGTACAGTACTTGTACCACCAAAAAGGTACCAGTTTTTTGGTTTAAATTTTAATTAAAAAACAAATTCTTAGTTCATCATACCCTAAAAGTTAAGGTGTTTTTTTAATTTCTTATTCACAGCTGTGAGACGAAAACAGAATGGTTGGTATGATGAAGATCATCCTCTTGTGTTCCTTTTCTTAGGGTCTTCTGGGATAGGTATGTTGGTTAATTACAGCTTACAAGAGCTTTAGACAAGTACCCTTGTATGTGTTGTTTTTATTAACCTCTTTGTTTCTGTTATGCCATTAAATTATAAATAAGTCTCAGCATTATTTTGCCAGTTCCTATCAGGCAGCATACATGTGAGTCTCAACTTTATGGCAACGGAAGAGTAAAAACTTCTCATCAGTTTATTGTCATAGGGATACTTAATCACTTTGGTACTTCTTGCAGTTAAGTATACAGCCCTGAAGCTGCACCAGCGTGTAGCAGTGCTGTATTATGTCATGTTATTTTGGAATAATAAGTCTACTGTACTGGTACCTTTCCGACTGTGCCATACAAAGTATACCTTGACCACTGTATCCCCCCCTTTATACTTACACTACTACCGGTACTGAACATCTAACAATAGGGATATAAATATATATAATCAGACCTGTTTACAGAGGAACTCCCAAAGTAGTACAAAATAGTCTCAGAATAGTACTTAACCATCTCAAAAGAAATAATGATACAGTATAATGTAGACAATAACTGTTAGCATCCCATGCTAAGATCTACTTCTCAAAGGAGATGACTGACATTTATATACAGTGTAATTATAAGTATTACAATTAAAAAGGCGCTCCTCATTTGCCACTTTGATAGACCAAGATGTGGTGAGGGAGCGGAAATTGAGGACACCCGCCGAAGTCACCCAAGCTTAAGTGGGGTGGGGTTTGGGGAGGAGGCTGAGCCCCCTTCCCAGAATTTTTTTATTGATTCAAAATGCGGGGATGCACTTTTGTTTATATGGTACCTGAATATAGTTTTGCATCATTCTACACTTAATCATAATTCTTGTGGAAATTAGGTTCCCTCTACCTAAATGTGTTCATATAAATCCTTATTATTTTCTTAGCAACTTAATAGTAAAATTCTTTTATAATTTATCACTTTTTTTAAATCTGTTTTTTTAAAAATCAGTCCAAAAATGGGATGGGTACGCAGAGATGGCACGTACCATCACAAAATTGAAAAAGGATGAATTATGTAAAATTTCAAATGTGCATTTATGCCTGAAGTGAAAATGTTCACTACTGGTAATTGAAATAAGAAGTAAGTTAATTTGTGATACATCCAAAATACCACAATATTTAACATGGTGGGCTGCCCACCCCTGCATTAAGCCTAGGAGCCTGATTTTAATTTCCTTTAACAAATTGTAGTCTATTAACTACTGCAAGCTGTATTGGGAGAAGGGAAGAGGAGCGCCGGAGTATTAAAAGTGTACAGCTGCTTAGTGACTTCTCAAAATAGATTTCAAATGCCATTTTCATTTACTAGATCCAAAAAATTTTTTCAAAATCTAACGATGTTGTGTGAATCAGTTGAGAAAGCATTTTTTTAAAAAAATTAGTAGTTTTCTCCATTTTTGCCATTGCCGCCAGTCAGCCGAAGAATGAACTTATGTCACAAAATTACACCATAAAGCACCAAAGGAAACAAAAGCGAATGTTTACAAAATGTGTTAATGCAGGGGAATACACTAAATATCATTGTGCTGCATTTAACGAGTTCAAGTTCAATGTGAAAACTCAAAACTACAATATGATGATCAATACGAAATGTGGTGGTGTTATTTTATTGCCTTTAAAAATATTTAGACACCTCCCCTTACCCCTCCCATGCGCACTTGAATATTTAGTATTTAGTTTTGAAATTAATTTTAATTATTTAAAACTTAGTAGAATCTGATGATTCTCAAAATTATGATTATGGATACCAGTAGGGTAAGAGCAGAATTTTAGTGCTTCAAAAGTCTGGTACTGGTACCAGTACATAGAGCATACCGTAGGTGATGTTGAGGTGTTTTACTGACATTGTCCCATTGTACTTACTGGGGTATTGGTATATATTATGAAAATGCTGAGGGTGGAAAGGGTATCTCTAAGCCAACAATAATATTTAGCATAGTAAAAACTTTAGTACCGGTACCATACATGGTATGGTTCCTTTCGCGCGACAGTTCACTTTGTCAGTGTTTTGTATGGGGGGTAGGATGTCTAAAAATGTTCAGCGGGAATAGGGTGCTGAATATTACTTGTTATATGTTTAGCCAAGTGGGTGATTGGTTGGTGGCTGACAGTTTGACAAATCCAAGGAAATCAGGTCTTTAGAACTATAGTCTACAAGTTTATTATTTATTGGTTCTTAGTGTAGGGTAAAAAGAAATGGAGAGAGAAAAAGGTGGGGTAGAAATAGAAAAAAGCACAAGTTGTTTCTATCATTTCAAACTGAGCGGGTTACATTGGACCTGCCTGATGTATGACACAAGGGAAACAATGACGTCAATGAGAATGAGAGCTCATTGTACATTCGCATGGGGGGTGGGGGGGGGTGTAGTTGCCCCAAAAGGATCGATGCATGGGGGGGGGGGGGGGTAATTTTTTTTCTTTCATAATATACGGATCGCCCCTAAAATAATTTTATGAAATTACAATAAACCTGAGGAAAAAACTTCCAAAAGGATCGATGCATGGGGGGGGGGGGGTGTAATTTTATTTCATTCATAATATACGGATCGCCCCTAATATAATATTATGAAATTACAATCAACCTGAGGAAAAAACTAGCATTGTTTACATTCATTAACATGTGTTGATAAATTAAATAACAACCAAATATTTAGAGTGATCTCCATTATCAAATTTTTACTAAATTCTTGGTGGTTTATGATTATAATTTTTTTCAAAATTTGACAAATTGGTTAGTCATCCTAAAGCAGTGTAAAACAAATGCTGATTTGAAAATGCTTTGAAATATTGCAGGCCTTTCTGTACCATTAATGCTTCAACCAGATATAATTTAAGAAAATATAATTTAAGAAAGCAAGTGGCTATTCTGTGTCACATGATACCGGTATTTTAAAGTTATAGACAAAATTCTCAGTTATCTCTAACTTTGAAATCAGGCAATATTAACTCTTTCATCCTCAGTACCCTACATGAACATCCTGTGTCCCACAAACCGAAACAGAGAGTTTGCTGTTTGTTTTGTACACAGTGCATTTTAAGTTATAGTAAGGGTCAAAATAGTGATTTCAGCATTCTACTACAGAACTTGATGTACTGGGTACTGGTGCATTAATAAAGACTAGTTTCTTGAATTTAAAAATTTGATTTACTAGTACATTGAAGACTAATTTTTAAAGCATATGTCCTCTTTTAAGTATTTAAGTGGGTTATTCAGAATGTTTTTGTTTTTAATTGTGGGAGTTTTGCATATATTTCAGTCCTGGTTTATTCCAAACAAATCAATAACCATAACAGACAGATTGCTATTTTTATGTTTCTTAGACTCTGCCACCACCTAAAAATTAATGTACTGGTATATGTAAGCTTTAGTTAATTATTTATAAAACTAATAAGCCTGCCAAACAATGGGGGCCACAATTCGTGAAATTTCATCTACTATGTTATTCGACAAAACATGCATTCAAGTAACACACTTTATAAGATTCCCAATTAGTGCTTACCCCCCCCCCCCCACCCACCCACATCACCACCATGAAATATATTAATAACCTACTGTGTCCCAACCCACCAACTATTTCCGTAAAACAAAAATAAATTTTATCTACTATGTTATTCGACCAAACATGCATTCAAGTAACACACTTTATAAGATTCCCAATTAGTGCTTACCCCCCCCCCCCACCCACCCACATCACCACCATGAAATATATTAATAACCTACTGTGTCCCAACCCACCAACTATTTCCGTAAAACAAAAACAAAAAATTACACGCAGTATTTTTAAGAATCTCATTTTCATTTTTTTTACTGGTAGTGCAGTCATCTAGAATTTTTTTAGTGAAATCATCACATCTGGTAGTGATATTGTTACAGTTACATAGAGAATTATTATTCTAATTTTTTTACCATTTCTATTATTATTTTAGGTAAAACTGAATTAGCTAAACAAGTTTCTCATTATCTGCACAAAGATAAAAAAGAAGTAAGTTTCCTTACTCTTACTACCGTACCTGTACTTTAGAAGTATATAACTGGTATCCGGCCACTTATTCATTACCTTTCACCTATAAGAGCTACAGTACAAGTACAAATTGAAATTGCTTTCCATAATTGGGCTCAGGTGTATAAATAAAATCCACCAATCATTAAAAAAAAATTGCACTTAACTATCACCAAGGGATTTAAAGTGTGTCACACTGCCAAAAATGTTTAATCAAAATGTTCTTTTTGTCATCGGGCAGGAGTGGAGGGCAAAGAGTTGGCAATCAAGAATTGTATGCTATTAATAATTTTAGTAATGCATAACTCAGAGGTCAGCAACCATGGTAAAATGTAGAAGACCACAAAAAACCCCCCAAAAAAACACTTAATACCTGGTATATAAAAGATATGGAACAGGTACTCTTACAGGTTGTTGGCATGCTGAATGAATTATAAATTACCGGTATACTTTGGCACAATATTACCAAAAGGTTGCCATAACCTGACATTCACATAAACTAATAAAAAATATTTTCTTACTTTTCAGGCCTTTATAAGAATAGATATGTCAGAATATCAGGAAAAACATGAGGTCAGTGTAATCAAATTTTACTATCCACTTTACCTACAACTACAATACTGGTAACTTTTAAATTAAAAAAAAATTAAATCAGCACTTTTAATTTCTGCAATTTTTAACAATGCTTAACTACTGGTAATCATGGTCTGTAGTGTGCCGGTAATTACCATTTATGTGAACATAAATTAAATAGAGAGTTGGATTTATATATTTGATTAAAATGGTCTAGCAGAGAAGGGGATTGTAGGTTGACGGATATGGAATTTATGGAGGAGAGAGGCATAAAGATACAATCAAATTGATTACAAATATAGTTTCCTTATTACTACCAAAACCTGGGAACAGATAACCTTCTCAAATCCTTCTTCCTCTGCTACTGATCATCTAAGTCAGGGGTTCTCAACCTGTGGATCGAGACCCCTTTGGGGGTCGAACGACCCTTTCACAGGGCTGGCCTGAGACCATCTGAAAATAAATATACTCTACAGTAATGAAGTAGCAACGAAAATAATTTTGTGGTTGGGGATCGCCACACATGAGGATCTGTATTAAATGGTTGCGGCATTAGGAAGGTTGAGAACCAATGATCTAATTGGTTTTTTACCAATGTGGAATGCGTTAAAAGGGGTCATGGTTACCGATGGAAAATGTGTGCAACATGAAATGCTGGTATTTAAAATCCTATGGACAGAGTGAGCCACTGTGGAAATCAACACACCAGGTTGATGTGAACCATATTTTAATTTTGCTAGGATGCACATTTATTCATTTTTTTAATTGACCTCGTGTTGATTAAGTGGGATTTCCCATTCATTGTTTCTGGTTGACTAGATCACTTTACACTTACTTAGGGCTCTGTTGACGGAAGAAAAGGTGCATTCTAACTCGAACCTAGCTAAGTCTTCTTACAAGAGTGCAAGATCACAGTTTATTAAACAAACATACAAAGATATATAAATATACTGGATATGTTTTAGCCAGCCAAAAAATGACAGCTGCAATGTGTGAACTTCCCATCTACTAAGTTACTTTTGAGTGCTATTGAACTCACCATTAAACCATAACTACCTAGAGAATTATATTATATTGATTGATACAGAAAGAGAGAGAGAGAGTCAATGGTGTAGAATGCTGTATGGATGTTTGAGAGGTATTTGTGTGTGGTGTGGGCTGGGGAGTGTCTGGTAGCCTCAGGTCCATGGGTGTATCTTTTGTTGGCTCATTTTCATATTTAAAATTACTGTTGGTCCAATAATGACATCTCCAATGCTGTACCTTAGGTCCAATAGTTACATCATCATTGCTGTACCTAGGGTCCAATAGTAACATCACCATTGCTGTACCTTGGATCCAATAGTAACATCGCCATTGCTGTACCTTGGATCCTATAGTAACATCACCATTGCTGTACCTAAGGTCCAATAGTAACCAATGATGTACCTTGGGCTTAATAGTAACATTACCAGTGCTTTACCTTTGGTCCAGTAGAAACATCACCAATGCTGTACCTTAGGTCCAATAGTAACATCACCAATGTTGTACGTTAGGTCCAATAGTAACATCACCAATGCTGCACCTTGGGTCTAATAGTAATATTGCCAATGCCGTACCGGTACCTTTGGTCCAATAGTAACACCACCAATACTCTACCTTGGCAAAACAAATACCTGTCATTTAAGTTATGGTACCAGGTACTGAACATTTAAAACCAGTCTTGTTCTGTTGTGATCTGTAACCTTTATATTGTTTCCAATGATACTGTTTTATTTTTTTCTGTAAAAAAAAAAAAAAGACAAAAAATAACATTTTCATTGTCATCAAAAAAAAGAATTGGCAGAGTTGCAACAGCTAAAAAAACTATTCTGGTACCCCAGTACCATACTTATTATTTCACCTCCTGATTTACATTACCGGTACAGCTCTAAAACCTTATACTTATACCTGGGTGTTATACCATGTATGTTGACCTAGTTATTCACCACAAGCCTGGTATTCAACCTTACTTCCCCTCCCCCTTTTTTTGTTTTGATAGTGACATCACTGATAAAATTTGAAAGTGTGATGCCAATCTTTTTTTACCTACCCCTCCCTTCATTTGGCAAACGGTTATGTTCAAATTTGCTCTAAAGAATGCTATCAGGTGATGCTATTTCTAGAAATTCTTTTCTGGAGGGTTCCAACTTTCTCCCAATGCATAAGCAGGTGGTTTTCCCATCTGGAAGAGATTTTGCTAGTTTTCCTAGACACAAAATTGTACTGTAATATATATTACAGTGGTTCTTAACCTTTTTGGAGGTACCGAACCCCACCAGTTTCATAAGCGCATTCACCGAACCCTTCTTAATAGGAAAAATAAAATATGATTTTTTTTTTCTAATTTTTTTTGGACCTCCGCCGAACCCCTGAGACTGACTCACCGAACACTTGGGGTTCGATCGAACCTAGGTTAAGAACCACTGCTATATTAATATTTATATTTTTTGAGGATTATACTTTTTCACTTGCTGTAAGTTAATATAATTTTTATTTTTGTCTATTTGGTTTTGTATTTTTATATACATTTAATAGTACCAGTACAATGAAATTGAATATTGTTAATATCGCTAGTTTTGGTACCGTTTTTGTATTTATACTGAATACTGGTTTTCAGTTCTTTGTTATGTATTGGTTATTTAAAGAGCCACTTCTTAAAACAGATTAAAATTTTAAAAAACACATGACGGTACAGAACAATGTTTTTTGATTGAATTTGTAGGTTGCCAAGTTCATTGGATCTCCTCCAGGATATGTTGGTCACGATGAGGGTGGTCAACTCACCAAGGCCTTGAGTAAATGTTCTAATGCTGTTGTTCTGTTTGATGAGGTGGATAAAGCGCACCCCGATGTTCTCACAATCATGTTACAGTTATTTGATGAGGTGAGATTTTTTTTATACCGCATAACCATGTAAGGAGTGATATTAATTTAAATACATTTTTCATAAAATAGCAGTAGGTTACTGGTATTCAGAATATGTAAAATAGATGTAACATTACATAGCTGTAGTTACTATTACTAGTATGAGTGTTTATTTTTTTTAAATGCTAAAATGATTTGAATCATACCCCGGTATATTATAATTATAAATCTAATGAGCATGATATAATTGTACTGAAGTAACTGCTAGCAATCTAATGGTGTCATAAACTTTTAATTGTTTTTAAAAGGTGGGGGATTCTGCTAATAGAGACATAATATCTTCCTGGTTCAAAGTTTCTTTTCATAACTTACATTAATATCATTTTTAGCTAGCTGAAACACATTTAAATAACTTTTGAACTAGCAATTTCAAACTAAATTTTAGCACTAAAAAAAATCTTAACAGACTAAATTTTAGCACTAAAAAAATCTTAACAGACTAAATTTTAGCACTGAAAAAAAATGTTAACAGAATAAATTTTATCATTAAAAAAACTCTGAACAGTACTGGTAGTGTATGAAAGAAAAATGGATACATCCCTCATAAATATTACTAGTTGTTGTCTCACCCAGGACCTGTCCATAAAATGTAACTTTAAATTAAGTCCCATCATTTAATCATTATGTTTGTAATACCACTAGGGCCGACTTACAGATGGTAAAGGTAAACTGGTAGAATGTAAAGATGCCATTTTTATAATGACATCCAACTTGGCAAGCGAGGAAATAGCAGAGCATGCCATTCAACTTCGACAGGAGGCCGCAAATATGTCAAAGTTAAGAGGCACTACACACATAGGTTTGTTGAGCTTCAAACTATCATCGTCTTATTTTGTAAATATCTGCACATCAAGTTAATTAGGGTGTAACCTGTAAAAAAAATAAATTATTTTCGTAATATTACTTGAATAGGTTAGAGAGAAATAGAGGGGCGACAGTGTTTTACTTTGACCAGGGCCCCCATCGCTGTTAAGATGGCCCTGACTGAACCATCAAAACAGTTTGAACTTAACTCTTACTGCATCATTTGTACCGGTACCATCAACAATGTTGCTATGGCCAATGTGGGGCTCTGGCCTGCATCAAACATACTTCCATTGAGAACAATCTGTGGCTTTGTGTCTCCATGCGCGGGCCCCACTGGTGCAAATCTGTGTCCACATCATTAATCCATGTCAGTCCTGGTCAGCCCACTGGATATGTTTCATGTGCCTCTTTGTTTTTGTCTTTGACTTTAATAGTAAAACATGTTTGTACCAGTTACATGTAATGTTTACTTATAAAATAAACTATTCACATTTTCAGAGGATCTTGAGCAGACTGAAAAGGTGACAATATCAAGAAATTTTAAAGATCAAGTTGTCCGGCCAATTTTAAAGGTACTTTTAAAGGATTATATCAGCTTTTTTGCATTTGATGTAATATTGATAAGAGTTTTCCACAACTGAAAACTAATTGTGTAATATTATATCAAATGCTGTTTACCAGTTAAATATATGTTAAGATTATTTGAGCAAAATACTATTGGATATAAAAACTGTAAACATTAAAAAGAAAATTAAGTTGTCTTTTTTTGGATTAAATAAATAAAATCAATTTTTGGATATCTTCAGCGGAAGTTTCGTCGCGATGAATTTCTTGGGAGAATCAATGAGATTGTTTACTTTTTGCCTTTCTCACAATCTGAGCTTACTAAGCTGGTTACTAAAGAGCTGGAGTTTTGGGCTAATAGAGTAAGTTTTGTATCTGCAGTGTTTCAGCAATTGTACTTGACTGTCTGTGGTGTTCTTTTAAAGAAACATTAAGTATTTTGATACAAAATGGAAATTTTAAAATATACATGCACGGTTGTCAATAAAATTTCTTTTTCAGTAATCTGTAATAGTAATAGTGTTCAAATTTTTAAAAAATTAATTAAATACCCATTTAATTTACATTTACAAAATATCTTTGCAATTTAAAAATCCCCCAAAAATTCAACAATACGGGTAAGTAGGAAGTTTCTGACCTGTTCCTTTAGGCAAAAAGCAAGCACAACATTGAACTTATGTGGGATCATCGAGTAGTTGATACACTAGCAGAAGGATTTGACACTCATTACGGAGCCAGGTCAATCAAATATGAGGTACGATTAACTTTGGATTCTTGATAAATTTCAGCATGTTTTATCAGGAAGCATTTCCTAGTAAATACAAGATTGAAAGCATGATTGAGTTGTGTAATTTTGTATAATTGAGTTTGACATTTTTTTTAAGGAAGGCAGATAACTTCCCATAAATATTAACCAAATTTGCTTATAAAAAATATTTACTTAAAAGTGAATAATACCATACAGAAGCTTAAATTAAATTTTTAAATGGACTGATATATTTTTTAATGGTGATTTAATTCAGTACTTTTGACAATTTTTAACCTAAGTGCATAGACAAATAAAAGCAGTGTCAATTTTTGAAGATAAAGCAAGATTTAGCTGCAACATAAGCAAAATATTTGTAAAACTTGGCAGTAGAAAAACTCTCCATCTCAACATAATAATTATGTAATGCTCTTTTTACAACATGGATCTGTAGGCAGATATTTGTGTTAAGAAATGCATGACAAGAAATGTAGAGGAATGTTAATTTTTGTCCCATTACCAGGTGGAGAGAAGAGTGATAACCCAACTTGCCATGGCACATGAGAGACAACTCATTAATACAGGAAGCAAAATAAGAATAACTGTTTCCAAGGGCAATGATCTCCTTGTAAACCCTGGCTCCAGTGATGATGGAGAAGCATCGACCATAAAATTACAAATTCTTGAATCTGCCTCATCAGGAGTGGAAAAATATAGGGATATCCTACTGGACAATGCTAACAATCCCTTTGCTATGCCTGCATAGTTCAAGAGAAGTTAACACATGAAGTTTACTAAACCTTAACTTTGCCAGTTATGATAATTTGTTTATTTCTGATTGGTGTTTTGGAGTTTCTCTTTGGAACATAATATTTCCAAATTGACTAAAAAAAAGAGAACCACTTTTGAAATATACTGATACAATTTAGTGGTGTTGAGCAAGGAATTCTTGACAAACAAAGAAGCAGATAGCAGTCTAATATTTTTAGCATACAAGAAATTTTAACATTAAATAAATAAAGCTGAAACTTTGGAAAGTCTGAAAGCATTTGTATGTTTTGTTTGTTTTGTGTAAAGGCTCTTGTAGGATAACATCCATGTGTAAAGGCTCTTGTAGGAAACATCCATGTGTAAAGGCTCTTGCAACTTGCAGGATAACATCCACGTGTAAAGGCTATTATAAAAATAACTGGAGAAAACCATAGCACTCTTGACTAATACTAATATTAATACATTTTTGTCCCTAACATTTTCTCACAAATCTAAGTATTTTGAAGACAATACCGCTGTAAACTCAACGTCAATCGAGAGCTTCAAAACTGCCCTAGCATCCGCTTGGATGCCGTTAAAATACCAGCATCGTTAAAATACCAGCATCGCATCCCCTACCGTTGCACATATGCCAGTACATGGATTCAGCAACGTACCGTACCAGAACATGAATCAGAACAACTTTTACCATAATCTGAAGTCAGAGTAATTTTGACTACTCTGACAAAATGTTTATGATTCTTAGTCTTGAGATAAGAATTATCAAGCCTACTTGGAAAAATGTCATTATGGTTTATTCAAGTCCAAGTTATTCAAGTGGGTAGCTTGGATAGGTTTTAAGTGAATAAGAAACAAGCCAACCAGCGTATATAAATTTTGCTGAACTTTTTTCAAATAAAACCTCGATTTTCTTGTTTTAAAGTACACTACAGTACTTTGTGCAATAAACTTAAAATTGAAGAGACAGGCATGATTGGAAGGAATATTAAAGAAGAAAGTATAATTTTTGGCTTCAACATTTCAGGAATTAGCCAAACGTGAAACAATTGGATTTCTAAGAACGGTGGAGGGGGAACGTTTATAACTGATAATTTGTTTGAAGGAGTGAATACACAAATCCAGATAGCATAGAGTTATTTTTAGCAAGCAAAGCTAACACTGAAGAAACATGTTTGGCACTGGTTGCTATTGGCCAGAGCCAGGTAAGTTTCATATACCTGGTATTAACAATCCATCGTCAGGGTAGGTATAGTTGATGTCTGCCCTAGGAGTCAAATTTAAAAAGGCTCTAAAGCTAATAAAAAAATTTCTTAGGCATTTAAAAGAATTTAAGTTATATGTTGCGGTTACTGACCTGTTTTTAAGATGAAATTTCTTTTTCAAAATTCAATTGTTGTCAAGGATAGTTAAGCACCACTCTCCTGCAACATATATTACGTGTGTAATATTAGTAATAATTCACTTTACAAGATCAGTGATACATAAAAAAATTACGTCAATGGTCAACATATAGGGAATTAAAAAAAAGGAAAACTTACATTCCAAAGGAAACTGATAGCTCAGAAATTGTTTTTAAGCTTTTCAAGACAAGTTGCTGCTTTCAATGAAAGAGGTAGTTATTGAATGAATTTAGTTAAGACATCTTAATGAATGGAAATACCATTGAGCAGCTACTGTGGAGTTGGAACTCTATTAATCATATATTTAAAAAGATCTTAAATGCTGCAGTTAATTTTTTAATGAATTGTGCCTGAAAAATAATCATCCTTATGTGAAAGAATAAACAACTGACAATTTTGCCAGTATGCAATAGGGAAAACGTCATGCTTGCACATTAATTGTAATTTTTTTTTATAGTGGGTGGGGGGGGGGGAATTCAAATTAGGTTAAACTTATGAAAGCTTAGTTTTTCAATATTTAATTCCTGTTCGACATAATAGCTTTTGTATAACAGGATATGTTTTATATAATATTTTTTTCTTTAAAGGGATGTAATGTTTAAAAATTGTCACTTTAAATATTCATAATTAATTATGAACACAAGTCAAAGATTTTGTTAGCAAGAGAAATCAGGAGAAAGTCAAGAAAAGAAGGAACCAATTATCTGATAGTAATGATAAAATATAAATAGTGCATTTATATTTTGCAGTAAATTTTCTACAATTTTTTGTTTCTCCTTTTCTTTTCTTTTTTTTTTTCTTTTTAATAATGCATTCATTTTTTTTTTCCATTATCTTTTTTTTCCCCCTCCTTTTTTTTTTTTTTTTTTTTTTTTTTTTTTTTTTTTCTTTTTTTTTTTTTTTTTTTTTTTTTTTTTTTTTTTTTTTTTTTTTTTTTTTTTATTTTTTTTTTTTTTGCATTCATTTTTTTTTTCCATTATCTTTTTTTTCCCCCTCCATTTTTTTTTGTTATTTTCTTTTCTTTTCTTTCTTTCTTCAATTTTTTTGTTTTTGTTTTTTTTTTTTTTTTTTTTTTTTTTTTTTTTTTTTTTTTTTTTTTTTTTTTTTTATTTTTTTTTTTTTTTTTTTTTTTTTTTTTTTTTTTTTTTTTCAATTGATTTTTTTTTTTTAAACAAGTATTCTCTGCTTTCATTTCTCCTATCATTTGCATTTCATCAGTCATACATCAACGCAAATTAAATAATGTAAATGAGAGAATATTCCAGTTTCTAAAATTTATTTCAAAATCCAAGTAATACCAATTAAATGAAGCAAATTTAAGACAAAGTAGTCATTGTTTTTTGTTGTTTTTTTTACTTTGAAAATGTCAATTTCCATAATATTATTAAAACAGTGCAATGTCACAATAAGGAAACATAAATAACATTTATTTGTATGACATTAGCTTTCTAATAATAATAAAAGAAACAAAACATGATTCATCAATGGCAACAATTGTCTCATCAATTAGATAATAAACATACATATAACATAAAAGTCACATTTCACCAACAAATGCATACACTGATAATGTCTCAAAATTGAATGGATTTAGTTACATTTTTGATGTTCAAAAAAAAAAATTTTGTAAAAAAGGGGCGACTGTTTGATTAAAAATTATGTGTGCTTCACACTACTGAAAGAATCTGGAGTATTTTGTATATGCATCAATTGAAAATACTGAATCAATTGTGGAACAGTTAAAGGTTTGGGAGTTTGCGCCCGACTGCTACAATATGAAAAAACTTTCATTGAATATTTTGTAAACATTTTGTTTTAAGATTGCTTAACTTCTGAGACGATTAGAGTGTGAAAAAATGGCTATTTAAAAAAAATATGACAGAGAGGAAAACACTGCTCTATTTGCAGTTCATCACAAATGCATTAGCCATGTTCAAACATTAAAACTCATATTTTATAATAATTTAAATGGTTTAAATTAGGACATAAGATCACTTTTTAACATTCATTGATTTCTTGTTAGAAAATGAATTTCTTATCATGTTCAAGTTCAAAGAAGAGCAACATTTTTTTTTTGTGCAAAAAACTTTGCATTCATTATCTAATATTAATATGGGTTGATTTCTGTGTCACTTCATGTAACACATTCAGCTAAAATTTAAAGGAATTACGAATTGAACAAAATCCAAGCAACCATTTAAAGCATTATCAATAAGAACTTATATTTATAATTTAATGAAACTAATACAAATTCACAGCAACAGAGACAATTTACAAGTTTTTAAAAAGAAAATTGTCATATTTTAAAAACTTTTCATCACTACTGACACCAACTTGAGCAGGTTGACTTCACAAAAAGCAATTTCACATCTCCTCACTATATTTTCTAAAAATAAACCTATTGCCATAAATGCATCAGTCCCAGGAACCTTCTTCATTATAATCAAGAGTATTACTGAGGTCTTCCCCATCATCTCCTCCAACCCCAACATCCATTTCAAGAGTGGCCCCATAGCTGCCACCACCACTGGTGTATATGGTTGGGGTGCTGGATGTCGTGTTGGACAGAGTCACTGTAATATGATCTTCATCATCTTCTTCGTCAGTGTAGCTTGCCTTGAAGTGCTGCTCTGTTCCAGCTAGCAAGTCCTCACTGAGGCTGCGTTCATAGATGATGGGTTTTCTTTCCGTTGGTTTTGGATCCTCCTCCTTAGTGCTGTCTACAAACATGCGGGAGTCCTCCTCCATCTCCTGCTGCCCGGACGCAGAGCTGGTTCCATCCATGGCTTCATCACCCTGGACTTCTGAACTTAATTGATTGGATTCAAGGGTTTCTGATTTATCCTCCCCGCTGATGTCAAGTAGTCCATCTTCATCGAGAGATCCCAATGTGACAGAAAGCTGAGAATATGATTGGTATAATAGTTATTGATTAACATGTTATTTTAATTCTGAATATTGAATGATAGGAAGGAGTCTCTGAGACGTGAGCTTTAAAAAAAAAAACAATTAAAGAAAAAAAGTTTTAAGTTAAAGTTAAAGACATAAAACAACTGAATTGTCATGAAAATGCATTAGCGATATAAAACACCAACCAAATGTAAAAATTGGTCTGTATTGCTAAACTAATTTATCTTTTCTTAAATTATTTAAGACTGAATGAGGCTATCAATGATTTCTTGTTGCCGTACAAACTCACATCATCATCCATCTCTGAACTTTGAGTGGATTCTGCTCTGCTGATCTTAGGGGTTATTTGGTTCCACCGGACTATAAGAGGCTTTTTCTTGAATTTTAGACCTTGAGATACAGCCTATGGAAATGAAACAAAGTTATATAAATGCTGTTAAAATTTTTTTAAAATATTTATAACCTGGGAAAAGCACCAAGGGTATTCATGAGCGGAAGTCCCACCATTCCAAATTGAATCAGTAAAGCAACTAAGTGAACAAATGGTACTGCAAATTTGGCTTCATATGGGGCTAAAAAAAACTAATATTTTCAATAAATAATTCATGAATACATTAAAAAACATAGAAATTAATACCATTAATAAAGAATTTTGTTTAACACATTCAACCCCATCCACTTGGAAATTTTACCCTGTAAATTACAAATTAAAGGAAGAAAACTCAAGACAGCAAAAAAAAATAAATCTTTTTTGGGGCAACATGAAATATAGTCAATTATATGGTAATTGTTTCAAGTTCAAGTGATGTTTGTTCTTTCTTGTAAATATTGCAGTTATATAACTTACCATTTCAGCAGATGGTCTTAGAGCAAATGTGAAAAATGCACTGGGTACATCTTCAACTATTTCTTCTTTCTCAATATCTCCAAATCTCTGAGAAAATAGAAATATAAGTGATGTCAATAAATTCAAAAGGTGATAGGCTATTTGTTCAGTACCATAAATTTTAAAAAATTTGGACCTATGCAAAATTTATGCATTTTAACTATCTAAATCATGAATATGGAAACTCTGAACTTTGACTTTATGTGGACTTTCAAAGCTATTTTGAGGATTTTAAGAATTGCATTTTTGTATATATAGCTTACTATTAGTTTTTTTTAATATTGGCATTTTCTAAAATTTAGAGTTGTAGACTCTTTTAGATAATATATTAAGAACTTTAATTTCATGGCGTGTAAAAAAAATATTCAATACAACCTAAATATTGCCAATTTTTTAAAATTACATATGATGAAGTCACCAAAAATAAATTCCTTTTTATTTTACCTGAAAATGTGCTCTAATCTCATCTAGTTCCGACAAGTCAAATCCCTTGACCTCAACTGTCTTTGGTCTGTTATCGAGGTGAGTTCGGCCAATGACTGGCATCATGTTTCTGCCTCTTCCACGGGGAACCCAACCTCCTCTCCCTCCAGCCCAGCCACGGCCTCGTCCATAGGTTTGAGGAGCAGGAATGGTGGCTGCCGGCTAAAAATTATAATGAAGGCTTTAAATGTAAACTAGCAGCATTTATAATGTACAATACATAATTGAGATTTAAGAAAATGTGATGGATTATAATGGTGGCAATAAAAATTAATAAACATTAAAATAAACTAAAATTTACTTACAGTCTCTTCCCATTCATTACTAGCATTGCAAAAAACCATTACCAGATCCAAAACCTAGCAATTTCACTTGTATACTATTATGGTAAAAGATTCTAGTCAATGAGCTCTGGGTCTCTTTTCAATTATTTGTACAATTATATTTTCATAAAACTTTTTTATCAAAATAGGTTTTAATCATCAATGAACAGAAATCCTATCAATGATGTGAGATTTCACAACAGTGTGGTAAATGAAGTTATTATATTATTTCTCTTGTCCCTTACCACCTGATCCTGGGTGCTGACATATTTGAACTGAGCTGGAGTAGGGGCTTGGAATGCAGATGCTGGCTTTTTAGCTCCAGTGCTATATTTAACCTTATCTATGGCATCAGATATTGTCCTTAGAGCCTGTCACAAAAATAATAAATAAATATTTTATTTTTAAGATAAATGAACATGGGGTCGAAGGTTTGGATTGTTTTGAAACAAATAATAAGCTATTTATTACTTTAAATTGTTTATTTAACTTAAGTAAAGGTTGTAAGTCCCATTTATTTCAGTTTTTCACTTTGTGATCATGAGATTTCAAAACGACTTGTAATTTTTAAATATTTTTTAATAATCGAACCATCAGTTGAATACACTTTTCACAATATTTAATATAATTGTGTTTAAGGGCTGCCAAATTTTGTAAAAATGTATAGCCATATTACAAAGCCATATGTCAAATTCTATAGTGGATTTGTAGGGATTAAAAAAAATTCTAACAACCTTTAACAAACTCGCTTTTTCCTCTTTGCTTATTACTGACTTCTTCTTGTCCAGGGTTTCCAAAAGGAACTGCAGAAAGAATTAAAAATCTCAACAATAAAAAAAACCCAAAGCAATTCAATAAGTATGTTTCTAAAATTATCTTACTAATTAGTACAGCAAATAAAACCAGAGTTAGAAAGTGCATAAATCATTAATTCAGTCATATTTTCATTTCTAGCAGAACTCACTTTTTGCTGTTCAATTTGTTTGGCCAACAGTTCTTGTCTTTTAAGCTCCAGTTCAGCTTGTTTTATAGTAGCTAGCTGTAATACATTATTTAAACTGTAAGTGTCATCAAATTTTGTATTTTATGCTTACATTAAAACGTTTAAGGCTTTGCAATCTGTAGCAAGTATTAAATAATCCTATGATTAATTAACCGGTATACATTTTTATAGTTAAACCTATTATAACTACCTGCATACGTTTTGTTTTAGGAATAAATGCTTTCAAATATGCTTTAAAATTATACCAAAATATTGTTGAGTCAATTATTGTTTCTCATCTTAAGTTGAAGAATTTCTTACAATCTTTAACTTTACCACATAAGCCAAATTGTGAATTTGTCGCAGACTATTGCATGGAAATTTTGGGAAACTGAAAGCAAACCTTTTTATCTTCTTCCATTCTTTTGATGGCTTCCATCCTTGAGACATAATCAGCTGTCTTAACAGCTGTGGGGCTCACAAAAGGAGCTGTAGCTTTAGTCTTGACAGCAGCCCCTGCTGGTGCTGGTACTGTAGCTCCTGGATTGAACACTGTCTTTTTCAAGTTACCAATGGAAGTTGTGTACACAATGGACTGAAAAAAAATAATTAAAAAGGTCAAATCAAACTGAGCAATTTTTTTAAAATCCCAAAACAGGAAAGAATAAAATTTAAGTAACAGGTAATTTAAAACTATTTCTTAAACAAATTATAAAAAGCATAAAGTTGCATTATTGTTGAGAGAATAATACAATCTATTCCAAACAATTTTTGTTTTCTAATCATAGTTCTAGGAGTCAACAAATCAACTGCTCTTGCATTACCGTATCTGATGGTTCGTTTGAAGACACCTCTAAAGTTGCATTAGCTGCACCAGGTTTTGGTTTAGTATTGTCTAACTGAAGCTTATGTGCTGGAGGTATGGCTGATCTCACAGGCAGCACCAGTGATGGATGGTCAATCTAAAGATAAATCAATAAATTCCCTGAATGAGGTCAATGTGGTTGATATTTGTAAACTACAAAAATTATGTTTGATTTACATGTTTATCATATCCAGTGTCAGTCCTCACTAGATGTCCCGGGGGAAGCCAGGGCGGTTGGAGAACCCTTTGTGAGAAAAATGTTGTATGGCTCAGCTCAGCGGATGGAGCTGGTAGCCAATTTACCAACCAGGGTCATAAGAGAGTAATCTCAGACCTTCACCAGAATATGTGTGTTAGTAGGAATTTCATTAGAATAAAATCATTAGATTAGAAAGGCGATACAGTATTTTTTAAAATGTATATCTTACAGCCACATTGTACTAAATGTTCTAAAGTATGATATCTTTTACAAGACCTTTTAAAATAATTTATAAAATTGAAGTGTTTACAAATGATGACAAAGAATCAGAGATAATATAATTTATTTTTGGTCTTTTATTTTAATAAGAGATGATTTCAAGATTCATTTAAAATGAAGATCACCAAAACAGAATCCTTGAATTCTATTCTTTGAACTATGTTTAACTTATGTGATGATTTTAAAACAAGTTTCACAAAGTTTCAAGAGAGAGCTGAACTGCCATAAAAAATATAGTAAAAGTCTGCTTTCATTAAAATATGAATCCATTTAAAAGAAAACTGTAACAATTTCAAGCCCAGTACTTGAAGCTTCTTTGCCTGATAAGCCAGTAGTCGTTCGGCCATTCACAAATTTTTTCCGTGTATCTCTCTTCTGAGCAATTAATTTCAGCTGATTTCACTTCCCGCTGACTCTCTCTGTCAAAGTCCCTTACTCATGTGTTTTATGGTCTTCCTCTTTATTGCCCAGTAGATTCAATGATGGAGACTAATCATCATTAGTGGTGCTACAGCCCGTGTAGGGCCTTGGCCTGTTCCACCACATCCTTCCATTCTGATCGATCCATGGCTTTCGGCCTCCATGCGCCGATGTAAATCTTTCCCTACATCATCAATCCATCTCAGTCTTGGTCAACAATGACTGTCTAGTAATATTTGATCCTCGTATTGGCAGTGGTACGGCAAGTCCATCTTCATGGCTTTCTCTTTATTTAATGAACTTATTTAAGATCTATTCTAACACTTTGATTTTTAAGATCTCAAACATTTGTGTCATGCCCAATACTAATGATGATTTCAAGCTGCGTAAAAAAAAATTAATTTGTCCTAGTGCAGGTCCTACAAGGTAAATGGACAGCGGCCATTGTTGGCTGTGTTAATTTTGAGGAATTGAAATTTATTCACATTGATATAGATGATTTGATCAGATTAGGCATTTGGTTGTGCCTTGATATTTTGATTGAATTTGAATCAAAAACTTTAATTCTTTCCATTAGTATCTCATTGGGGATTTTTCCTTTAGCACATATGACAGGATTATATCTTTGTAGAAGAAATCCATCTTAAAGTTAGAAACTTGCCAAACATTAGAGGACAAACTAAGTCTTAAGATCAACAATAAAATGAATCCATTGAGCATTCATTTTCAGGCTTACCCCGTCACCTACTCTTCCACCAGTGACTTGACCTTGAACTTGAACCTCCCTCCCGTCATCTTTGACAGTGACCACAGGGCTCTCTGTTTCACCATCCATGTCGACATGTTTCTCTGGGTTGTGCCAGAAGAGTTTGATGAACCTGTTGTTGAAGACAGGCTCAGGGCTTCTATAAGCAGCTGTTGCCTCTCCATTGTTAGAGAAAGAAATAAGTGCAGCTCCTTGATCATTTTGATACTTCACCTGGTCAAAATATCAACATTTTGAGGATACAAATTTAATGACAACACATCAGTTAAAAATAAGTCTGGAATTCTACATAAAAAGTTGAGTCAGAAAAATAAATCACAAATTACACAAATAAAACCAAAAAAATGTCAAGAATTCCAGTCTGTATTTACTATCAAGGTTTTGAATGATGCAAATACCTGAATATTGGTGAGATTTCCAAATTTCCCAAAGTGTTCATTAAGTTTGGCAATATTGTTAAGCTCTGGTGGAATCTTGCGAACCTCAAGTGTGAGGTTACCAGTTTTGAAGGGCTGCCTAAGTCCTTGACCCCTATTACCTCCACGGCCTATAGAAAGAGATAACAGTAAAAATCTAGTTAAAAAGAAATGTTAATAGAAATGAAATAATTGTAATGTAAAAAGAGCAGAAATTACAAAAACAGAATCTATTTTTTTTTTTGGTGCCTTTGTCAAAAATATTTTGTTTTAAAGGGGCAGGCTACCAAAAATATTTTTTTAAAAATTAACCAACTTAGAGCAACTATTTTATTATGGTCATGTTAAGCTATGAATGGAGATATATTTTCATGCTTTAAAAAAAAAAATAATTATATAGTTGCCATGGCAACGGCGGCCATCTTGAAAATAATACCCATTCTTAGAGTTCTAAAATTTTAAAAGCAAACATACATATTGCTTAAAAAATGATTGATTCATGAACTTCAATTATATTTAGAGGTACTGAGCTAGTTTAATTTCCTTCAAACTTTTCAAACATTTTTTTTTTAAATTTTTAAAATTTGCCCCTGCAAATTTACCATCCTAGGATATAAAAAAAATATTTTAACAAAAGTAAATGACCAAATTGATTTTTGAATAGCTCATTACCCGCAAAATAGTTAAAGGAAGATACACACCAAATTTCATTACTCTAGCTTGTATATTAGCTGAGATTTTAGAATTCTACGTTACAAAACAACAGAAAAAAACAATTTTAAACTTTAAAAGTGAAAAAATTTTAAGTTTAATATGAAAATGAAGTTCTTTTACATAGTTCTTTTTGTTCAGCAACATGGACATGGTGGTTTCTTATATTATTGAACAGTTGAATGCACCAGGAACATGGGTTTTAACTTCTTGAACTTCATCAGGTGCTCTTGTCAAAATCACAATTTAAAAAAAAATTCCTCTGGAATAAAGCTAATTTGTGTTGTATTAGAATTTTTTGTTCAGCATTATAATATAACACAAGTTACCCAAAGTCCCCAATCAACCCTTTTGTCCATGATCCTTTTAACCATGCTTAGATGACAAGGTTATGTTGCTGTCACCATCACTGAAATTGAAGCATAAATAGTTTCATGGCAACAATGCTATGTTGAAACTTTTGTACCTATTCTGTGTACTTCTTTCATCAAAGATGTCCCTCATACCAGAGGTGAATGAGTTATTTGTCTATTAGAAATGTAATAATTGGGCAAATACTTGCTCATAAATGTTTCATGTCTTCGGCATAGCGCAGTTTTTATACTTTATGCAGGTTATAAATTTTGCGATGCAGCTGGATTGTTTATCGCAGATATCATAGATTGCAACTTTTCATAGTCCATGCCATTGTCCTTCAGGCCTTAGAGTCTATAATTGATAATGACTTGGTTATCCAGTTGTTGATATGAACAATCTAATCAGTCACAATCTAGTCATTGTTATATTCATAGTATTTACTATTTTGTTTTGCAATCAGCTGTAAGTTATGGCTTCTGCAATTTGTCCATTCCACTGCAGACAGAAGAAATTTGGTAAAAGCTTTGAATTATGATCATATCGAAATCAATGTTTAGCAGTCCCTCTGTAGCATTCTTGTCACTGAAGAATTAACTTTTGCAAAGAATTTGGTCTGCAAATCAGCTTGAAAAAGACAAACATCATGGCCCAAGACACTCGACCTCCACCTAACATAAAAATCGATAATGAAAACTTGGAGGTTGTGGACAGCTTCACCTACTTGGGGTCCAAGGTCTCCAATACACTGTCCAGTGAAGAAGAAATCAACAGCAGAATCGGCAAGGCAGCTGCCACAATGGCTAAACTAAATAAACGGGTCTGGCAAAACACCAAGCTAACGGACAAAACCAAACTGTGCGTCTATCGAGCTTGTGTCATCAGTACACTACTATACGGGAGCGAGACATGGACCACCTATACATCCCAAGAGCGCAAGCTTAATAGCTTCCATATGAGATGCCTGCGTCGCATCCTTGGTATTAAATGGCAAGAAAAAGTGACTAATAGTGAGGTCCTAATGCGTGCGAATACCCAAAGCATGTTCACAATCCTTAGTGAAAGACGCCTGAGATGGCTAGGTCATGTTAAAAGAATGAGTCCCGGCCGCATTCCGAAAGACCTCCTATATGGTGAACTTGCTTCTGGAAAGAGGAAAACAGGTCGCCCACGTCTGCGATTTAAAGATGTCTGTCAAAGGGACATGAAAGCAGCCAAAATACATACAAGTGACTGGGAGTGTAAGGCAAAAGACCGATCTACGTGGCGCACAGTTGTCAAAGAGGGCGTCATGGTAGCCGAGGAGCGAAGAATGGAAGAGGATGCAGACAGAAGAGCTAGGAGAAAGGCCAAAACATTTGGAAGCACGGAACTCGTGTGTAAAAACTGTGGTAAAGACTGTCACTCAAGGATAGGACTGCACAGCCACTCGAGAAAATGCAACCCAACCCAACGGTGATGCACCATCGTCTCACGAGACGGAAGGATGCCGATATTTCAATAGTGGACCGATATTTGTTAGACAACTATAAATAAATAGGCTTAGGATTCATATAATTTAACAATTCACTTGATTGGTAAATATAAAGACTAATAGTAGAAACTTATGTAATTCTCCGCATAAGGCATAAGCTAAACATAAACTCACAAACAATCCACATGCACGATCAATCATCATGGCAACACAGTGACAGTACTGACGTCCGAACTGAATAATTTCAACTATCACCGATTGCGTGTTGCTAAATTAAGGTCATTTTTTTTTAGTATACTTACCTTGAATTTCTGGCTTTTACCGAATGGGTAAGGTTGTAAATGTGTATTTTAAAATAAAAATCTGCTGATGCTTTCGTTTGCAAAATTTCGTTCTGTACACAGAACCATGATCCGGTAAACACACATAAACAACTCGTTTGAGCATGCGCGAGTCAACGGTATCTCCGTTTGGACCAATGAAAATCGGTAAAATATATAAATAGAAGCGAAGAAAATCCTACAAACATTTCGCTTGTGGATCCGATTATTTGTAGAAATTATATTTACTGACTTCGATTCTAAATATAAAAAAAACTGCTTGATTTACCTTTACGTTGATATATAATAATAGCATATTATGTTATTTAAAACTAGTTTTTTGAGGTCTCAAACATGGGATATGTATGAATTTTATTTTATTTCCAAAATTAGGTCAATTTTTAGAGTGGGGTGGGGTGTTAAATATCAGTTGTTTCACAACAAATCTTTTAAAAAGTAGTATAAATTGATGTGTTATCGATTCTAAGAATGTTCATCTTTGTAAAAATGAAAAAATAAAAAAAAGGAAAATTTTTGAAAAATTTAGATATTTTCGGGCGCCTACCCCCTTAAATGAATAAGAGTTGTGAACAATTTCAAATGCAATAACTCAAGCATAAAAGATGAAAATTTAAAAGGATAAATATATAATATTTGAAACTAAATTAACGTTTTTAAATTACCAAGACGGTTGTAGTCAAATCCTCTGCGAATGGGTGCTGTATTTTGATTTTGTTGCTGAGGTTGGACTTGCTGTGGTGGAGGAGGAACACCATACATGGCATGGTTTTGGTTAAGATATGTAATCCTTGATGCGGGTGGTCCAATGTTCATGTTATCATTTTCCAGGACGCTGTAGGGTCTCTTGGCAGGGATGACAATTCGTGATGGCTCTTTGTCAGAAATGAGCATATCCCCTGCTGCTATGACCAACAATGAGGATTCATTACACTTATAAAACTAGTTAAGCACTAAGAAATGATTCAGTTTAATTATTGTAATAAATATTGTATCTTTAAAGAGAAGACATGGTCTTCAATCAAACAGCTTACCACCATCTTCTAAATGTGCAGGCGGGCGATTCATTATAACTTCTCTCCTGGGATAAAATTGATCAGGATGTGGTAGTCTGTTTAAGATCATCCCAGGTGGTGGTTGACGCAGGTCTGGTGGACCTCTCATGAATGGCTGTCTTGGTGGGCCTTGTAGTCTGGGAGCCTCTGGTAAATATGGCTCTACTGAAATAAGAAAATAATAAGGTATTAGACTTTTCTTTAGTAAATACCCTTTCAGTTTAATGACATTTTTGTAGAATTTACTAAAAGCAATATTTTAATGAATATTACCATTAATTGCCTGCATTACCCCAAAGCTTACTACAGAAAAGAATGAAGTCGTAAATAAAATTGATGTAATAACGATAAAAAACCTACACCAAGAGAGGCATTCATAGATATATATATATAGGTTACTGAAAACAAATTTGCACTTTTACCATGTTGTGGTGGTGGACGTTGTAAATTTAAGCGCATTGTCATGTGACCTGGTGGGGGCTGACGGAGGTCAGGGGGAATAAATGCACCAGAAGATGATAAACCTAATATGAAAATAGAATGGAAAAAAAACCTTGTTTACACAAGTGAAAAGATTCTTATGTTATAAAGTTGCTCTGAACACAATCCACTCATAAGCCTTGGAACTGATTTAAATGAAATTTTTTCTATTTTCGTGCAGAAAGTTTTATCTTTTTTTTTAAGGCAAATAAAATATACAAATTTATATAGCTATTGCAACCTAATTTTTTTATTTAAAAAAATAAATATTAATTTAAAAATAAACAGAATAACGTTTGATAAAGACTGTAAATTATGTATCAAAATACTTATTTATTTTTATAGCAAATTTGAGTATTTGAGCTATTGAAACCTTTTTTTCTTTTTTTTAAACTGAATTAAAATTAAACAGAATAACTTTTGATAAAGACAGCAACTTATCTATCAAAATACTTATTTATTTTTATAGTAAATTTGAGCTTACAGAAGACATCCATGCAAAATACAAGATTCTATTTTTAGATTAATTCTAAAATGCAGTTATACAGAAATTAAAAAATACTTTTGAGAAGCGATGAAATTATGAACCTCATTAGTCAAACACTCAAGTAAATAGTTTTATTTCTGAATATTTTAAACTTTAGTTATGTGTTTGGTAGGCTGGCTTTTAAGTAAATTTGTGATAATCATTTAAAGGTAAGATTTTTTACTTTAACTAGAGATTTGAATTTAAAGAGTACATCAAACCAGGTTTTATTTTTCAGCCTCGGCTAGAGCCAAATTTAAAAATATATTTAAAAAAATAATAAATCATCAAAATAGTGAAAGTAACATGCAAAGGATACCAGCCATCCCAAAAGCAGCATAGAGAAAAGTTTTAACATTTTCAAAGTCCCACCAGACACTGACCTGGAGGATTACTAGCTGGCAGAACATTGGGAATGCCCACATCTTCAACAACAACAGGGTCTGACCCATGATCATAAGGACAAACATCTCCCAGCATACAAAAACCCTTCTCTGAAAATATAAAGAAGAAAACGCATTACTTTAATGTGTGGCTAGACACAATGTAAACTTGATTTAGGCCTCAAGCCGAGTGGCTCTACCGCAAAACGGCTTTACAGTTGAACCAATCTGGCTCAATTTTCATTTCTCATGAACTGCACTCAACACTGACCATTACAAAATTGTCAAAACTACCCAAGCAATGTTGAGCTGTCTCACTCTGTAAACAAACATAAAATGCACATGCATACCTTCAAAATTTTGACATCTTGGTCTGCCAGTCTGAACAAATACAGGAGGTGGGGGAGCTTCCAAATTTGGAGGCAGTCGATTGTCAGCCCTTTCTTCTATACGAAAACCAACTGTGCTCGTTACAGCAGGGAGGTCATTCGTAGACGAAGAGATATAATCATTGTCTTGAAGAGGTGTGGATCCTCGACTGTCAGGTTGGCGGGCTATTTGATAAACATTTATTGATGGCATGCATATAATATTTTTAGAAACCCACAAATTTGAAATAGCTAAGCACAAACCCAGAATGGAAAAAAGAAAATGCGAAAGTTCAACCTTTTTAACAGTCCCAGTAAGAGTATAAATGAATACAACATCATGTTCTAAAAAATAATTTGCTTGGCTTTAGATATACTTATAAAGGAACAAAAGGAGTAGAAAAAATAAAATACCAAAGACCCCATGAAAACAGAGAGAAAACGATCACAACATCTTAAAAAATATTGCATTTGATGTTCTGATTATTTAAAAAAAAAAAAACACAATTACAGGAGTTTAACTAGGATGGGAAAAGTTACCAAAAGGGGGACTGCAAACTAACCATTAGAGGGGGACCTTGTCCTTAATCGAACCGGACTATTAGGTCTACTCCATGATCTTGGTCGAGACCTTGATCTAGTTCTTGACCTGTAAGGGGGTCGATATCTGATATCTCTGGGACTTCTGCTTCTTAACTTTGGACTTCTCGACCGCAGAGCTCTGACACCTCTATCAACAGGTGAACGAACTCTGCGAGGACTACGTGACCACGTTCTGCGACGCCCCCATCGCCGTTCAGGTGAATATCTGGGTCTCTCATCAAATCTTCTCCGCCTATCCTCACTTTATTAAATATTAAGAGGTATAAAAATTATAATTTTAAAATTACATCACTACTGAAATGTATTCGTCTTTAGAAGCTACAGCATAGTAGTTTGTCCTAAATTGTGAATTATGATTTCAATCATTTGAAATACTTTAATTGACACATTACAATACAGCTATAAGATACTTGTTTTCTCAATACTTGATTAGGAAAACATAACTTACTATTCTCGGCGCCGAGGACTAATGCTACGACTTCTTGTTCTCCTTCTCCTGAAATCCCTGTCTCTATCCCGGTGATCCCTATCCCTGGGTTCACGTACTTCCCTTGTATCTGCTCTTGGGTCGAATCTGTCTACCCTTTCCCTGATGATGTCTCGAGCATCACGAATGCTGTCTTTATTTTTGTCGTCCCTCCAAGAATCCCTGCGATCCCGTGAGCCCTCCCTATCCCTTTCCCTATCACGCCCATCTCTGGAAGTCGCCCTGGGCTCTCTGTTTTCTCTGTGTGGTTCTCTAGAGTCTCTGAGATCACCTGCGGTATCTTTAGAAGCAGGTAGTGAGCTGGTGTTCAGTGCTGCTGAATGACTTTCCTTGTTTTCTTTGTCATCCGTGGTAGATGAAATCTGTTGTGACACAAGCAAGAGCTTCAAATAATCAGATTGAGTAAGAAAAAACAATTAAAAACTATTTAAAACAATTTTTTAAGTTGTAAAGATTTAAAAAGTGTTTCTTTGTTGTTTTATTTAAAAATTTGAGATTATAGCAAAGAAAATAAAGACCCATAATGTTATATTTGTATTATGGTACTTTGCCTAACTCTATAAACAGATAAGTCGGATCATTTTAAAAATGATGTATTTTTTCTTTTTAAATTATTAAGATCAAGCCTTCCCCATGACCTGTAAATGCCTGTAAAGATATTTTAAAATTTGCATTTATAGAAAGTACATTTTCTGTTACATGTTCTAACCAGACTTTCTGTTACATGTGCTAACCAGACTTTTGAAAATTGTTTTTAAAAAGTTTATTAGGTTTTTAGTGTCTCGAGTAAAATTTGAAAAATTTAACTTACTTGTTTAGACATTTACATCTAAGATAGGTAATTTTTTTACACTATCAACAATTCAAATCTTATTTCCCAATTATATAAGATTCAAATTAGCAATTCCATTAACTAAACATGTAATTTTTTATTAATCTAATTCTAATATAATAGTAATAGGATAAACATCATTTTTAAAGGTATTACAAGCAAGTACAGTGCTTACATAAAAGACAACTGTAGACAGATTCATTTTGTTTTCCAAATTGAAAAAAAAAAAAAAAAAAAAAATAATTTACCAAAACATTTCCCACTTTTTCTTATAATGAAAATAATATATTTCACTGCTCTTGAATAAGACATGTAAAGAATTTTTTTTTTATTACTTCAGAGAATTTTCTTTTTGGTGGTTCCTCTTTATCTTTGACCGGCGGAAGTGGAGCTACCTTGACATCTGCTTTAATTGCAATAGGAGGGGCAATGGCAGGACGAGGCTTAACCTCACTTGCAGGTGGTATATAAAGCTTGGTCTTAAGAACTTCAAACAGCTCATCAACGAAAGGTTTCGTGTCTGTATATTAAATGTTCAGAGAAAATATTTACACATTATAGTTCACATCTTAGATGAAAGCTTTAAAATAGAGTTTTTAACAAATATAATATTATTAATCTTTTCCTCTTTATTAAATAAAACTTGTAAACTCATTAAGAAATTCTGTCAATCAAACAGAGATTAGAGGGTTTTTTTCTTTTATTTCCCATAGCATATTATAGGTTAAACCCTTATGAAGAAATTAATTTTTGTAAGGTAGATGATAAACAGAAAATTATGGACTAATTTTCTGAAGAAAAATAAATGCTTACTTTGCTGAAGAAATACATCAAGTTGATCAACACATATATCCCGTAAATCTTGTTCTGGTTTGTCTTTTTTTACCAAAGCACAAACATACTTTGCTAAAGCACTTGGTTCTGCATCACATCTGAGAACATATTATTGAAGAACTTCATTATTTAAAATTAAGAAGCTTGTGTGTTATTATGAACATGCTGATTGATGTAAAATATATGTCTTTTTACTATGCTCTTATCAGTGATTAAATAACTGGCTTTGAATTAAGACTTGATAAAACTTAAAGGGAACTATAATAATCATGTTCATGCTACTAATAATTAGAAAAAGAAATTTTTTATTTTTTGCCTTTTCCTAGGTAATGGCATTCTAAACAAGCCACTGAGAATTGTTTTTTAAAATCGGGTCACATCAACCATATTTATCAATCACATTTTTTGGACTGGAAGAAACGGGTTTAGAAAGTACTGATGTTGATCTTTATTCTGATATATTTTTGCAAGGTGTGAAATAAAAATGTATGCTTAAAAACATTGATTTTAGACAAAAAAATTCATTTTTTTTTAGCTTTTGCCATCATTAAGCAAAAATACATATTCTGAAAACCAATCAATTTTATAATAAAACTGTTAACTTTTTGGGAATGCCCCATTCATGATGCAAAGTGCGCAAGCTTTGAAAATATGTCATCAAATTCCTAAAACAAAAATTCAGTCAAGACCTCTGTAAGAGCATGGCAAGCTGATTTTTTTGTATAAGCAATTTAGCCAAATTTAGTTATTTTTCCATGGATTTAAAAACTGCCATAGGTAAGTTAAAACATTAGTTCATTCTTAGGTATTATATATATTGTAAAGAAGCGTTTCTTTAACGTATTTGTGATTTAGTGTCAGCACTTCTAAGACTTCTTAATATTTTAATTTTTTTTCATTGGAACGATCTACTAGTACTACTAGCCTATTTTAAAGTTTTCTGTATTTTATTTATGATAAAAGAGAAGAAAAAAAATAATGCATAATTATTTCTATAAAAATGTTTAAATATTGAATGATATTTCTTTTGTTGCAATACAATTTCTTTAGAAGGTGCAGTAAATCATTAGACTGTCAAGGTATTATCGATTCAAGTAAAGAATTTTACTTTGGGGTCAAGGTATTATTTTCCTGAGGGGGAATGGTATGCTTTATTTTTAGTTTATATAAAGTTATATGGTAAGATGCATAAGAAAGTGATGAAATGTTAATTATTCTTGTTTTAGGGTATAAATATAGTTTTATAAAATAGTACTCTTTAGTAAATATTTTGCTATATTATATAACTGGCTGTGAGTGCAAGAAATTTGAAAGTTACAACTTACTGATTACTTAGTTATTTTAGAAGACAGCGGATGACAAACCTACACCTACTTGTGTTAAGTCCTCTAAAATTTGAAGCCTGTCCCCAATTTTTAAAAAATTCATAACTTTTTAAACAAATTGGTGATAGAAAATTAAAATGTGTGGTTCTCTTCTGATTAAGCCAAGCTCTATTTAGGGGTATAGTTGAATTTTATTTATTTTTTATTTTGATTTCATTATGAAATATTCATTTAGATTCATAATTTAGACTCATTTAAAATATTTTTCCTTGCCATAGCCTCATAGGCTAATTAGCCTGTCTAAATCAAAAGAGCAGAAAAGTAAAGGGACAAAACGGTTTATTTTAGGTTAGCGGTAAGGCCGACAATGTGTTCCACGGTATATAGTATAGGTCATGGAGGTTCCCCCAGGTCCACTTCTGTCTACAGCGCCTTATTAAAAAAATTTCGATATTTGTATTCACCTGCAAGTTATGGATTTCTTTGTTACTTATTTTGGTATTTAAAGTGAGGGGAGGGGTTTGGGGAGGGGAATAATGTTCAACAAAAAACAGGAATGTTATCACACACATAGTTTGGGTCCTACAATGAATAGGTCTATTCACCCTAAGTCCAGTGTTGGGATTCCCCAAGGTGACGTCACTGCGATTAGGCAAAACCCATACCGTTAACCAGACCTGTTTACCCTCCAACTCTTAAAATCGTACAATATCATGACAAAATCTTTCAACTCATTACCTTAATAGTAAAAAATAAACGTAAAGTATATATATCTCAAAATTGTACATTGTACGCCAAAATCGTAAAAATATACAGGTCTGCTTTAACTCAAAATTTACTGACAAAACAGCTGATTATTGATTATCGGTATATCTGCCAATTAATTAGTGCAATCTTACAACTTACAGTAAATCTAACGAATTATTAATTTCACTCAACAACACTCGAAATTCATTCCTATATGCCATATTGAATTTTTACTTGAATTTATTGATTCAAGATTGCAATTTAATTGTCACTTGTGACTTGTGTGATGTGCAATGCGTATATTAAGATTCAAATTAATACATTGCATGCATGCAGAGTGCTTACATGGGTGAGAGTTTGTTGGTCAACCAAATTTTTAATGCCTCAACTTGCTCAATAATCATTTTTTAAATGAAATTTAGAAATATTCCTGAAATTAATTAATTGCTCTCCAGCTTGATGAATACAACCGGAAACAATGCTAGGAGAATCAAATCACCACGCTCTTAAAGCACCGATTCTTATTGAATAATAGATGTAAAATAATAAATTTGTCATTCTTTTTTCTTACAATTAACGGATATTATATTATATTAAAAATTGTGGCTAACCAAAATTGTACTCTTTAAAATAAAAAAAAAGATTAATTATAGATAATATATTTATTTTGTATAATTTACTTTAAGTTTATGTTGAATTAATTCCACACAAAAAATGGCAGCGCCCACTCATTACTTCTTTAGTTATCAGATTATAGCTAAATAATCTAAAGGCTTGGCCCATTATAAATTTGTACAGTCCTTTGATTAAAACTGGCTGATTGCAAAGGGCCTCTGTTAATAAAACTGGGTATTATGAGGGAGACACACGTGGAAATAAGGCATATTCATTGATCATTGTCAATAAGTAAAACTAAAAGTAAAGTAAAGTCAAGTCAAGTGAAGTGGTATTTTTTTAGAATATTACATACATTACATATTGTAACATATTAGTAGTATTGGCCCAATAGTATTGGATTAATGATTAAGTTAGTATATACTAGTATAATATTCTTAGTATAGTATTTTTAATGTTATAGTTAATTTTACTTTTACAAAGCTGTTATTAGAAAAGGAGATATCAATTCAATATGCCAAGCAGCAAAATATGGTGTTAACAAAAAGTTTACATTCGATGCCATGCACATCTGAGTCATCTGATATCTGGTGAAATCCCTTGCCTTAAAATTAAATGTCCACCATCCCTCAACAAACAACGCCCACCCACTCAGGCCCACTCGCATCCTATGAATTCCTATGCTCATGTGAGCATATGTGAACACTTGTAATGGTAGCAACCCTGATGAAATACAAGAACGGATTAAAATGATTAGGCAGACTACCCAAAAATGTCACAGTCAGTCCTCTTCAAACACTAGATTCCTGTCAGATTCCTAGTAAAGATATTGAGGAATATCTTAAAATGTGGCATGTGGACTATCTGGGGGCTCATATAACATATACATACTAAGTACAATATGACTCCTGTGATACTGGTTCCACTTAGACTTAGACTTAAATTAAATCAACACTAGAAGAGTTGGAAAACCAAAACCTGGATTAGATGTGTGTTATTTGTGTTCAAACCAAGTTATGGTACCTAATGCCCCAAAGCCTGGTTCCTAATTCCCCATTCACAACTTTTAAGGGCGTTGTTTTAACAATAAAAATAACACAACTTATAAATACATTTGAATCCCCAGGTTATATCTGTTAATGTGTGAGAAGTGTGTTTCTTAAATATTCTAAGTTTTAAAGATAACCATGTGCTTGATTGTGAAGAAATATATTTTTAAAAATTAAATCTATAAAAACACTGGTGCTTAATGCCCCACTTTACCCTATGTATAATACTAAAAGTAGTCTAAATAAAGTTAGTAGCCTGAGTAGTATTTAAGTATTGTTATTATAATAATTCATAACTTCTAATAAGAGGCCCACTAATAAAATGATAGGCCTGTTTCCCGAATTCCTGGTCTACTTGACTTACTCCACAGTTACAGGCTTTGAAGTCCTGAATTGCAATTCCTTTATTAAGTTTTAGTCTCTGTCTTAGGTCTTATACTATTTAATTAGTAGATTAAGAGGAGATTAGATTTGATTTGGGGAGAAAGTGGCAACTGCAAAATTGTTTGGGATCAATGTCACAAATGATAAAAATATGTATAAATTGCTTGGGCTAAATATTAAGCTAAATAACATAAATAAACAAAAAGATTCAAGACTACTACTACTACAAAATTGCATGCTACATTTACAGTAGAAGCTAGAAACTTAAATATTTAGGTTCAGGGCTTTTGCAGCCTTGCTTATGCTATGGCCTATGCCTTTGATACAAAATGTTACATTTTGGGTTGATTTTGACTCTTGCACATATTTGTAGGACAATATTTTACTAACTAAAGAAAAATCACATGGCTCCCAAGAAAAAAGATAAAGCAAAACTTTCTGAATGGTTCCAATGTTCACTGTGTGATAAACTTGTAAGTGCATATGATGCTGATGTGCACTCAAAATCATGTGAAGCTGAGCATGGTTATGTCCAAAGGAAAACTCTTTATGGAAAGATCATTAAGGCTGAAGGAATTTTAGTTAAAGGTTTGTATGATAACAGTGCATTCAGATTTATTGAATACTTTATTGCTTTTTAATAGTGATTAAATTTCCGAAAAGGGATAGATGAAAATGTGTTTCTACCTTTTTATTTATGATGTTATTCTATGACATGCAGTTCGAAATCATGACTTAAATGGATAAACTTTGTTAAGAAAATGAAATCACTTTAATATGTTTGAAAATAAAAGATATTGTGTATCTGATTTTTTTATCTTTTGCGGGTATAAAAAAGTTAAGTGTTCCAGAAGTAATCTTGATAATTTCATGTTACATGTTTATTAAGCTATAAATTTTAAGTATTTGTTTTTTTTTTGCATAGTGACATTCTTTGCTCTGTCTTAAACAATAAGGGCTGTCTGAAATAAGTGATCTATGACTCTGACTGCTTATTTAACACAGATGGATCATTACTAACAAAGACATTACGGAGCAGCAACGACGTTATTTGGTTAGCTATTCCTGCAATGCAGATATGTGGCTTATCCATTGGCCAACCTTGCATAGTAAATAGGACTCTGATTAAACAAGTTTGGCCATATCAGACTTCAGCCTCGTCAACTGTTGCTGTCACGGCACGGTGCTTGGATGAGATGGGATTAAAAGAAGGGGATGTAGTTACAGTGGAGAGATTTAAACCTCAAGGTTATAAAGCTCTGTCAGTCCAGTTAAAACTACAGTAAGATTTCTACCACATTCTATTTTGTTTGGGTCTTTATATAATTTATTAGCAAATAAAATTCATTTAATAAGATTATGATGCTATCTGTTTCTATTAATGTTATAGTTTTGTCATTAATTGCTGATTTGTAGTTAGAAATGCATTATATAATACAAAGCAATGCATATTTTAGCAATAATAAGCCTTATCGAAGAAGTAATGTTATAAAACTCGTATCCCTATGTATGAACAATAATTAATATTATAATGAAAGTTATCCCTGTAGATATTACAATTAAGGCTTTCAGTCCCAAAATGTAAAAAAATATTAAAAATAAATAAGCTTTTAAAAAAATCATACTAATAAATATTACCAATTTTTTTTAAATTTTAAAACAATTTTTAGATGTGGCTAATGCCTTGAGTCTTGAGTGAATGTTGAAATTCAGCAATGTTCTGCTAATCAGTTTCTTCAAAATACTGGGTCTTTTATGCATTTTTATGGTGTGCAACACAACTGCTACTGCAATATATTTTTAAAAAATCATCTTTTTAAATCCCTTAAATTAACATAGCTTTTGTTCATGTGTCTCTGGCTGGCAAAATTTTCTGACAGCTAATTGACCCACTTCCTGTCAACCAATTAAGCACATAGACTTGTTGCAGATGACAACACATTCTATCAAATTTTAAGCCCCATCCCCCAACCCCCAACAATCAATTTTTCCTATCTTGTCAAAGGTAAGATGAAGGAAAAATGTTTACATTCATTTCGTGAAATAAATTTCACATTAACTGGGCTAAATGAGATTCTTAAAAATATCTCTAGTGCATTTGTTGCGTAACATTTTAAAACAATAGCTGGTGAAATAAATCTGAGGTGTCAAAGCGGGTTGGTCATTACAATATTAAATTAATTTCAAGGTCGTGAAAAAATGAGCGGGTGCGAGTAGGGGGTGGAGGGAGAGAGCACTAATTGGTATTCTTATAAAGTGCTTTACTTGTATGCATGTTTGTCAAATGTTGAACACCATCCCCATTGCTCAATATTACATTTTATAAAGGATTTATATGTAAAACTTTGTTTCTTAAGGTTTGTTTAATTATCCTTGTTATTAAAATATGTAGATGAAGGGAAAGGTGCTATTAAAAAAAGTAATTTTGTTGCAAGGATTTTTCTAAAACATGGCTGAGTTAGCTTACAGAAATGATGATAGAAATGTCTTTTAGTGATTAAGAAACTATGTTAATATCTATAATATTAACTAATATAAAAAACTAATTAATATTTCAGAAAATCAAATCCACTATTTGAAACTCAAGAGTTTTCTTCTTTTATATCTTCCTACTTAGGTAAGCCACGTTATCAATTTCTGGTGTTTTGTCCTAAATATTACCTAATTTTATTTTTAGCAAGGAGCCTTTACAAATTTGTCCTCTTAAAAATCATTCTTACTTGTTGCATTTTAAGTTAATTAATTAATGTGAGACTTTTTTGTGTGTTAATACTAGTCTTTTTTTTATTAATGCTTTTATCACTTTTTAGACCTGAAACATCACACTATTTAATTTTTACAATAAAATTCCTTTAGTGATATAATATATTCCATTAGAGTAATTGAGCAGTTGGAAACCACTGTATCCCTGATAAAATTCCTGACTTTTCTCTTGTCCTGTATTTGAAAACCTTAAACCAAGTCATGTTACCAGGCATATATTTTATTTTCTGCCTATGTTGTCATAACAAAATCATTTATTTGTAGTAAAGCAAAATTATAGGTCCAATTCAATGCAAACCCGTCATTCATTTCAGATGGTAAATATGTCACCAATGGAATGCCTCTGAATCTTCGTTACTTTGGACTGCATTGCCAGTGCTTCGTCTATAATGTTCATCATGAACTTGATGCATCTCATTCATCTGAAGCACACAAGTCAAACAATGTGCTGGAAACGTTACCTAATATTAATTCTCCCAAAGAGTTACCTGAACTTTCAGAAGATGGAGATGCTTCATTTTGTTCCGCCAGCCAAGATCTTTCCTTATCAATGACATCTTTGAACATCTCAACATCATCTCTCGATGACTCAGCCCCGGCTCCCCAGACTCCCCTGAAGCGTAACTATCCCAACCTTGGCACCCCTCTAAAAGACATCTCAGACTCCCCCAACAGAAATGATAGTGGAGTTACCTTTGCAGTTGTTTCTTCATCTCAGACCAAGTTTACTGTTGTATCATCGGCATCACAAGAAATATCCGATGCACCAAGATTCTCACTCTCTGACACTGGGGGTTTATCAACACAAATCAATGAACTCAGATCCAGAGTATTAAGGGGTATGCAGCTAATTAATTCTTGATTATTATATATTTAAAAAAATTACATTTTTAAAATACCTGTACATTTTTTATTAAATAAGATTAAGTGATTCTGTATTTGTGTCTTTCAAGCAATATTTAGCATGTCTAAAATAAGTATTTTAATTTTTTTTTATTTTGGTGTGCAAATACTTAAATTTTTGGATGTGGTTGTTTGTCAAAATAATGTGACGCCAGTGCATGATGTGATATTGCTCACATTCATTTAATAACTATCACTTGTAGTTTATAAAGAATGATAAAAAAAGAGGAGGGGGACTGCAATCAGGTTAGGTAGAAGGAAATAGTGTATAAAGAATTCTTCAAAATTTAAATGCCATGAAATCCTATTAATTTAAATATATTTAATTTTTTTTGGTCAATATTCTTGCCAGATGACTTATTAATTTAGATGGGTTGCCACATGGGGAAATTAGAATTATAAATTTGAAATATTTTTTTAGCTGACTCGCATATCTTTTATTGAATTTTTTTTTTTTTTTAATTTTTAAAAATTATTCTGTTAGCACAACAAGCAAAGAGCAATTGCTGTTGCATATTACTCCATGGTCCTGCAGGCACAGGGAAGACATTGCTGGTAAAAGCACTGGCAGCAGATCTAAAGGCAAACACCATACAGCTTACTGGCACTGACATCTGGAGCAAGTACGTTAGAGATTTAAAGCCTTAAACAAACAAAATATTTATATTATAAAGAAGAAATAGCAATTAAAAAATTGATTAAATTTTGGTTAAAAGATCTAAAATGTTATTTGAAAAACTAGTAATTTTAGACTGTAAAAAAATTGAAGTGACTTAGAGTTTTACCTGCATATTTTATTTTTTTTTTAATGGCTGTATATTTATAACTCCAACAAAAATTGACTTTATAAAAAAAATTTGCTCAGAATCTGAATAACCAACTCTCATAAATTTACTTTGTGTTTGGCAAGAAATAAAGTTTTGTATTTGGAAACTTCAGATTGTTTGGTGAAGCTGAGGCGAACTTGAGGAAAGCATTTCAAGATGCCCAGGAAAAGTGAGTGATATCTGCAGTGTTATTTATGTTTATATTCTGTTAATTGCAAGATCAAATCTTATACAACAACTATTTAAAAAAAACATGTTGGGTTATTTATCTGACAGCCTAAAATTCTTATAGGTCCCTGAATTTTCTCTGATCATCAATCGGGAATTAGAGCTGCAAAATAACACACAAGAATAACTCTCCCGTGAATTAGTAAAAAAAATAAACATCAGTTTTCTGATGTTGTGTAATTTTAGATAAGTCTGACTTTTGACTCCAAACATTATGACCAGCAATGTGATGCTTCAAACCTTTAAAAGTTTTCAACTTGTCCAGGCCGCTGAGTTTGATTATTATAGACGACATGGATGTCATGTGTCCCAAACGTTCACCAAACAGTGCTGGACAGCAGGAACACAGGCTTGTGGGGACCTTGGTATCTTTGATTGATGGGGCTGCACATTCGGTCAGTTCAATTCAGCTAATTTTTTTCATATTTCTGTTTGTGAAGAGGGAGTGTCATTACATAGAAGCAAGTTGATTTGGAACTTTTAATACTGTAATACATTAAATTGTAGAACTACGATGAAGAGTGAGAAATGAAACTAGTATTATGTGAGTCGTGAGGACATTATATTATCCATTCTTGATGCCAAAAACATTTTCACAGAGAAATGTTTGTTTAATTTATTTTAAAAAATTTTTGGTATCCATAGAAACATTCTAGTCTTTTAGTCATCATAGGCATCACTAACAAAAAAGATGATATTGACCCCGCTCTGAGAAGAGCTGGAAGATTTGGCTGTGAGGTCGAGGTGGGAGTACCCACAATGGTTCAGAGGAAAGAGGTAGGTTGTGCTTGCTGTGTATTTTAACATCTGCATTCAACATCTGATGGCATTAATATAATTTATTTATTTTTTTAAATGAGACCCCAGCACTGTAAAATTAGGAATTAAAAAAAAAAAAGCTGAATGCTTAATGGTAATTAGGAAAATATCTAACTTCCAATTAGAATATATTTTTAGTGCTAATTAAACCTGAACTTTAATGAAGCAAAATGAAATATTCCTTTAAAGTCTTCCAAAAGCATATCACAAATTTTCCATGTCATCGGCAGATTCTTCAAGTGCTGCTCAGTAAAATTCCACATAACTTAAGTTTTGAAGACATTGAAACTGTGGCCATGAATGCACATGGCTATGTTGGTGCCGATTTAGCCGCTCTGCTTAATGAAGGTAAAAGTATTATCTTTAAACAGTTAAAATGAAAATGTCAAGCAGTGCACAATTCAGGTGTGATTGCGAGTCAAGGGTATGAGCTCTGATGAAGGATACCTTTCTCAATCTTGAACTAAACTATTGCTCATTTCTTGACAAACTAATTTAGGAGCTGCTAGTTCAAACTGGTAATATTTAAAAAAATAAGGACAGGTTATTAGAGAAAACATGATTAAAAATAATTATTCGAAAAATTGAAAAAGACTAGGTATGGGGGGAAAATGTCCTTTCTGAATTAATTTTTAAAACACATTTATTCAACAGCTTCCTTACATGCACTCAGTCGCCAAGGGCCACCACCAAGTGAATTAGGAACTGCATCACTCCAGCTTACATTGGAAGACTTAATATTTGCTGGATCTCTTGTTAAACCAAGCGCCTTAAGAGAAATTCAACTGGAAGTAACACAGGTAAAGAAATCATCATTTGAATCAACCAAATGTTTTTAGTGTGTGTAACATGATATTTAGTGTTTGTTTATTACTAAGTAAATCTCACCTCTTCATGTGAGGTGTAAGAATACAAGTGATTAATTGTCTGTAAGAAGGAACTAAATCGGCAGTCATATTTGAAAGCATGTTAAATTAGGCAGTTACGGAAAGTCACCTCATGGTGTTGACTCATGTAGTATTTTGAATGACATGATATAATTATATTTTTTGAAAAAGTCAATGGGTTTATAGTGAGAGATGTTGAATTACTGTTCAAAATTTCATCTTATGTGAACAGAGACATCATACATTTGTGAAGCTATTTATGTGAAGTCAATCACTGTAATAAAAGTGATTTGGGAAGAACTGACACAGCAATTTATATTGACAGGTGGTCTGTGTCAGCGTTTCCAAAACTTTTAAGTTTGGCAGACTGGTTGACATATTTTAAATTGCAACAGGGACCGGTCCTAGATTAATTAATTTCATTTTCTTTTTATTTGACCATAAGTATTCATGTTGTGCAGACCTCGCAACGTAAGGATGGTGGATCATCTATGTGAAGTCTTGAATAGTTCACCTCGACTATTAATAATTATTAGCAAGAATAGGACCTGCCACAATAAACATATCAGGTTATACTGTGCATTCTTTCAAACAATGCTGAGTATTATCCCAGCACTATTCCTAAGAGCTAAATCAAACAATCCAAAATTGCTACCTGTAACGAAATATCTAAATAATAATCTTTAGTTTTACTTGGAGTTTTTAATAATGATGGGATGTTGTGTTTGTGCAGGTGAAATGGTCAGATATTGGTGGAATGTCTGAGGTCAAGATGAGGCTGCGAGAAGCTGTGGAGTTGCCACTGAGCAATCCGGAAGTGTTTAAAAGGCTGGGAATTGAACCGCCTAGAGGTCTCCTGATGTATGGCCCCCCAGGGTGCTCGAAAACAATGGTGGCAAGAGCTTTAGCCACAGAGTCCAAGCTGAATTTCTTAGCAGTGAAGGTAAATGATTCAACAAAGTAAATTATATAAACCATGAAATTTTTTTTTATGGATTTTGATTAATATAATATTTTAATTTTAAAGATTTTTCTGTTTCTAGGGTCCTGAACTTTTTAACCAATATGTTGGCCAATCAGAAAAAGCAGTCCGTGAAGTCTTCCGTAAGGCCAGATCTGCCGCTCCATCAATTATATTTTTTGATGAGATTGATGCTATTGCTGCCAAAAGAGGGTTGGTCTCTCCATTATATATATATATATATATTTCAGTTTCTGTAATGTAAACTCTGTTTTATTTAGGAAATATTGTTTTGGTCTTTTTCTTGAAACTGAATTCGTTTTTGTTTTTTTATCATTTGCTGTTAGTTTTTTGCAATTTAATTAATTTTTTGAAACACATTTATTTGACATCCTCAAACTCACACAGTTTTGAAAACACAAATTTTGTTGTGTCGTGACTTAAAAAATACATTTGCTTTAAACTGGCCTCCCTCAAACTAAAATAACTTGGCATGATCCATGTCTTATAAGTTTTGACATCCACCAGTTTCGTTAATACCCATGTTATTTTGTTTTATATCCAGTTCCTCATGTGGAAGTGGTGTTGATGACCGGGTCTTGACGCAGCTGTTGACAGAAATGGACGGCCTGGAATTTCTGAAAGATGTCTTCATAATGGCAGCTACGAACAGACCTGATAAAATTGACAATGTAATCACCTTCTTTCTTCTTCTTCTTATATTTGAGGGCCCACGATCAATTTGTTGATCATTCTGACTCTGGTTTGAATTCAGAGTTTCCCTTCTCTTAGATGAGTTGCCGTCCAAGGCTAACGGGTCCCATCCACCCGGGGTGCTTGGGATGTTTAGACTGCTCGGCCAAACAGCCTATCCCAAAATTTTGTATCTTCATTTAAAAAAAATAAGCTTAACATCAATACTCTTTTTTTTTAGTCCAGAATCTAGTGTTAGACCAAGCTGAGATGTTAACATAAAACAATTATTTTTAATTTTAAAAATATGAATTTTTTTTTAGTTCTTGGTCAAAATTTTATTAATGTCTTGTTTGTTTGTTTTTGTGGATGTGATCTAAGGCGTTGTTGAGACCTGGCAGATTTGATAGTTTGGTTTACGTGCCACTGCCTGATGACTCAACAAGAGAAGAGATTTTACTAAAGAAGTTCACCAAAATGTGTGTGGGAGATGATGTCAATGTTAAAACACTTGTGGAGCTCACACAGGACTACTCTGGCGCTGAGGTGTGTGGCATAGAAAGATTTCTCCAGTCTTATTTCAATTGAAACTTTTTGTTCATACACACAACATAGGTTATCACATAATGCTCATTTAGTTTAAATATTTTTATAAGAGTTAAAATTAGGTTTTAAAAAAAAAGGGAAGTAGATTTATTTTCCTGGTAAAATTTTACCATGTAGGTTTGATTGTCAAAAGACTTAACACACTTTTTTAAAAAGTATTTTAATGGATCATTTAATCAGATGAGACCTCTTTTTCTTTAATGAAAATTTATGCACCTTATATTAATGTTGAAAATGACAAACTGGTTTATTAATGTGCAAAAAATATCTATATTCTCATTACTTTCCATCCTTAGATTATTCAAGTGTGTCATGAAGCTGCGTTATCTGCCTTGAGAGAAGACATCAATTCTCATCAAGTGCTCTTCAGACACTTTGAAACCGCACTTAAAAAAGTCCAGCCACAAATAGATCCAGAGTTGATTCAGATTTATCAAAAATTTTCTAACACAAGAATAAAATAGCTTTGAAATAAAATGGTGTTTCTTTAAATGCTTCTGTAAATAATCATTTTTTTAATTGTAAAAACTGAAGCAGTTATCTGATTCTAAAAAAGAGTAGTTCTAATAGCCACAGGTAAGTGTAAGGTTAATTGAATCATTACCCCATTAAAAAAAAACAACAACTTAATTTGTTGGGGATAAAGTTTCTGCATGGAAGAGAATATAAGTAACTGCAAAAACATAGTTCAATAACACAATGATGTACGTTTCAATTAATTATAAAACCAACAAAACAAAGTTCCACCCTACTGATATAGAGGTAAACTCTGACCCAAGTATTCCTCACTTAAACAACCTACCTGGTAACTGTTTGTGCAGCTCTCTAGTGTGGTGAATGTGCGCCCCCCCTCCCAACACTTCACATTTGCTGATGTGTAGATATTTATGTTTTAACTTCTGTTGCGATAATTTAAAAAAAAAAAATCATTAGTAATCTTCCGATAACGGTGTTTTACTAAATTCATTATGCACATAGTACCTGTGAGACCACCCATCACCTTAGAGTACCAACAACGGACTTAAAGAACCACTGGACTACATCATTATGTGATTTAATGTTCTGAAAGCAGTTTAATAATGTAGTAGAGTAGATACAGACATTAAAAGACAATGACCAACATTTTTTTATTTTTTTTAAATAACATACATCTCTGAACTGGTGTTAAAATGGTTTATTTAATTATTCACATTCCATTTACTTTTGTTTGATTTAAAAAGATTGTGCTGTGGGGAAAAAAATACTGTTTCAATTTTAATGAAATATTTATATATGAGAAGCTTGTTTTAGTAATCCCTATTCAGCTCCCTAGGATTGATTTACTGAACAGAAGAAAAAGAAATATTGATTAAATGCCAAACAAAAATGTTGATATGTTTTATCAAGTCTTAAAGTAAAATGTGCTTTTCTACTCTGTACTTAAAGATGGCTTGAATCGTTCAGTAAATATATGTCATTTAAAAGCAATGTAAAAAATATATATACTGCAATAATGTATATTTTTAGATTGCTTTTAAATAACATATTTAATAGTGGCTTCATTCCTCTATCATACAATAGAACAACTGATTTCATTGGTTTGTTCTAGAACGTACTTTCACATTTACACAACAAGAAATATTTTTTTTCTTAAATGAAAGTTTTAAATTTAAAAAAAAATCTTTGATGGCAATTCAAAAAAAAAAAAAAAAGACTTAAATAATTATTTTGTTAATCTTGATTAAAAGACCGTGAGCAGGGCGAAGACACCGTAGACTAGAGCACAAGGGTAGGCAACCAGTTAACAAGAAATATTTTTTTTCTTAAAAGAAAATTTTAAAATAAAAAAAAAATCTTTGATGGCAATTAAAAAAAAAAAAAAAAAGACTTAAATAATTATTTTGTTAATCTTGATTAAAAGACCGTGAGCAGGGCGAAGACACCGTAGACTAGAGCACAAGGGTAGGCAACCAGTGGCTGTTGGCTGTCCATATGTAAGGCGGAGACGAAGAGCTTTGATGCCGAAATGCTGCACCATAAAACTGTCACAGATACCAGTGCCAGACCAATGGCACCTCTGAGTTAGAAAAGGAAAGACATGGGTGAATGATTCAGAACTTTAAAAAAAGAAAATGGCCATTATTTAAATCCGGGAGATTAAAAAATCCTGCCATTGATACACATCAGACGGTAAACAGAACCCACCACATAGGACACATGAGACAGGACACACCACATAGGACACATGAGACAGGACACACCATATGGGACACATCAGACAGGACACACCATATAGGACACATGAGACAGGACACACCATATAGGACACATGAGACAGAACACACACCATATAGGACAGATGAGACAGGACACACCATAAAGGAAACATGAGACAGGACACTCCATATAGGACACATGAGACAGGACACACCATATAGGACACATGAGACAGGACACACCATAAAGGACACATGAGACAGGACAGACCATAAAGGACACACCAGACATGACACATTAGATAGCACACATCAGACTAGACAGTACATGACAGACAAGACACACCAGACGGTAAACCAAAAAGACAGTAAACACAAGTCACATATTTACTTGAGAGACAGCATGACTGCAGAGAAGGAGAGGAACACCATGGGCAGGAGGCAGTAGCCCAGCACACTGATGATGATCCCTACAGACACGCCATTCAGGCTCATCAGATTCAGCAGGCAGTACATGGCCAAACATCCGACCAGACCGATGCCGTAGATGTAGCCAAAGTGGACCTTCCCAGTCTGTTAATATGAGAGCGGAAAGAAAATTATTTCTTTGTTAGTGTTGAGAGCAGATAAAGAAAGAGTTAACATGGACTTGAAAATGTGTACGTACAAGTTTGCATAGGTATTTAAAATGTATACAAGTTGGCATATTTAAAATGAGTAAAAGTTTGCATATATATATAAAGTGTACAATGCTGCTCCACTGATCCTTGAAGATCCACTGATCCTTTGAAGATCCATGATACCTTAAAGACCCACTTATCCCATGATGGGTAATAAGGGGAGAGACTGCAATCAGGTTAGCCCAAAATAAAATGAGTAAAACAGAGTAGGGTTAAACCTGAAAAAATAAACGCAACAAAACAACGAACGTGTCGGCAGAAAGCCTTCGTCAGCGAACAAAACAACAGAAAAAAACGGTATAAAAATAAGAAATAGCACTTAGCTGGGAAATAGTAACCGTGACCAGCAAAAGAAATTTCAATAATTTTATATTATCCCATGATGATTCACTAGTACCGCGAAGAACCACTGATCCTATGATGATCTACTAATCCCAAGAAGTTCCACTAATCCCATCATGGTCCGTTGACAACGACCCCACTCGTCCCAGAACGACCCACAATATGGATACTATCAATGTGCACTTACCAGCAGCAGTGAGCCCCCAAAGGCCATGCAGAAGACGAGGGGACCCGCCAGATCTGTATCTTGCATGATGGACTGCTCAGCAGACTTCAGTGGATTCAACACGGCCAATGTCTGCGAGAAGAAAACCATAACACAATCAAATATAAGATTTAAATAGTCATGTACTTGTAAAATGTTGAAACACCAAGGCACAAACATGCATCAAAAGTTAACTTTTAATTGAGCGTACACAATTTTCAAACGGCCAAAGTGTCCCGGGTCATGTTCAAAAAGCCTAAACGCTTTATCTTTATTTATGTATTCCCTAATTACGATCACCATTATGTACCGGGGGTTAACCATTATGTACCGGGGATCACCATTATGTACCGGGGATCACCATTATGTACCGGGGATCACCAATATGTACCGGGGATTAACCATTATGTACCGGGGATCACCATTATGTACCGGGGATCACCATTATGTACCGGGGATTAACCATCATGTACCGGGGATCACCTCAGACAAATGACAGGGAGAGGGTTACAGACAAATGACAGGGAGAGGGTTACAGACTAAAGACAGGCAGAGGGTTACAAATGACAGGCAGAGGGTTACAAATGACAGGCAGAGGGTTACAAATGACAGGCAGAGGGTTACAGACAAATGACAGGCAGAGGGTTACAGACAAATGACAGGCAGAGGGTTACAGACAAATGACAGGCAGAGGGTTACAAATGACACCACGTGACAGTTATTATTCACCATAAGGCTAACTAAAGTAGAAAGTGACATTTGACGTAAAACACCAATTTTATCAGTTAACCCTCCTTAAACCCAAAAGCAATTTGAATCCTAAAAAAAATTGGCAAATAATTTCCACTTGGACCACTTCGAATAGAATCTAGTGCAAGAACGGGCGACCGCGAACATGTTTGGATCAATCCATTGCAAGCACAATCCCAGTTTCAAAGGACTGACTTGACAGTGAGGTAGAAAGCACGTGTGTCAGGACCAGCGTGTCAGCTCAGTATGGTATCGTAGCACATTTTAATGGATCCCCACAAGCCACCGACGGTACTGGCCAGCTTGGCGCGGAGTCATGGAGACGGGTGAGCAGAGCTGACGCGCGTCTTGAACATGTCCGGTCAAATAATAACGTTAATGGGGAGATAATCTCGGGACGAGACGAGGTTAAACCCCTTCTTTAGATGACGTCATCTCATAATTTAAAAAAAATATATATATTCCCTGCCTGTATTTCACTTTTTGAATAGAAGCTCTGCCAGAAATCAAAGGCTAAGAAAAATGAACAATAAAAGTATATATATAATTTTATTGTTCATTAAAAAGGTATCTATAAAAATCAGATAGTTTTATACTTTCAAGGAATATAACTTAAATAAAAATTGGAAATGACATTTCATAAAGTTTCTTCCCTCCAATATATTAATTCTGACTCCCCCCCCCCCCAACCAATGAAATGTATCATATAAATGGTATATATTTAGGGACTCAGTTAATGGAGTATCGGACACAACTTACGATATACTGCATTAAATGTGCCACGGGACAAAGCTGTGTAGCAAATGTTATAGCTTTCTGGGACAGACAGAGCGTGGAGAAATGTTGGCTCAGTGATTTTGGAAACGTGAAAGAGCAAGACAGAAGATTACCGGCCGTTAGAGAGAAGATAACGTGGATTACAAGACACGCATAGTAGGGGAATGATGCGGGAGACGTATGTTTGGTTTAAGAGTGGATCGGTCACCTAATGACCAACACCGGACACAGACTGACTAAACAGGGTGAAATTGTCGGGCGAGACAGAGAATTGGGGAAGGCAGGATCACTGGGATTGATCGGCAGAGCCACCCGGGGGGCTGACAAGACAGCCGTCCGGCGAATGTAACGAAATTAAGGACTTTACTAATCGATTACAAAGAATTATATATCTATCTGTTTTAGAATTAAAGTGGGTGGGGGGGGGGGGGGGGGGGGGATACCTTAGAGAAAGGGGGGGGGGTGGAAAAGGAAGGGGGGGG